GCCTTCTGTTCTCTTTACGACCTGGCACCTCCTGGTCACTAAACACTTCCTCATGCCTCGGCCCCACCCTGCCGTCGCCTTCCTCAGGCTGAAGTCTACCCTCACACCGGGCTCCAGTGCTGTTCCCAGCGTTCACCTCTGTGTTCCCTGTGCCACAGCCAAGAGGGAACAGCTCCCCTCCTTGGGGGTTGGCTCTTTTAGGGGGCCCCACGGCATCATTGCCTGAGCTCCAAGGTGTTGCAGTTCTTGTCATTTTACTGGCTCGAGGTGGGTCCACGTAACACTCACCCACTGCACTCACCCACTGCATCCCTGGACATTCTGACTCTGGCGCTGAGCCTGGCTTGTCCTTTCCCAGGGAACCCGGACTCTGCCTTTCCCTACGGTGGTTCTTGTCAAAGTCCTCATGGACTTTCTTATGGTTCACAGAATCTACAGCCCACTCTCATTTCACTTACACGAATTCATCTGCACGTGCGTGGCCGGGCATCCTTCAGGACTGCTCGCCGCAGCACACATTCAACAGCAAGTGGATGCAACGCAGCCTGAACCAGATCTAACTTTTATATAGCGCCTACTGTATACCAGGGCTGTTCGGAATGCTTTCCATGTATTAACGCATGACACAGCATTCCTGTGAGGTGGATACTGTTTGAAAGCCTCTTTTTTGGAAGAGAGAATGAAGGCAGAAAGGTTTAGTGACACCTCCCACGCCCACCCCAGGCTCACAAAGCTAGTAAGTAGCAGCTCGGGGGTTCAAATGCAGGTGGCTGGCTCCAGCGTGTGCTCTTTATCTCTGTGGGACGGTGTCCTTGTTTGAACGCTGGCAAATACCTAGGAAAGATTGTGACTGATTTTAAGTGTTCCCCAACCTGTGTAAAAGCAGCAGCAAAATGCATCGTGCACTCAGGATTTCCAGAGGTAGCTCTGATGGTGCTGACTGTATGCCATTTACCCTGACATGGCGACTTCTGATGACTTGAGAACTTAACTCATGCATTTGCTGCGTCTCTGTTATAATGTTGCAGGAGGCTGAGCCAAGTGACACCCAACATCTGTGTGTGCAGACTGAGCCCTCCCCCACCCACCCCCACTTATTATTTCTGCATTCAAGGCCTCTGTGGTCATAAGTCTGGCCCCTCCCTGGCATTGAGGCTGCTCCTGAATGTCTAACCCAGCAAACTCAGAGAGCGCTTACCCCATGCCAAGTGCACTGAGAACAGGGAAGGCAGACACGCAAGAGACTGGAAGCCCAGCAGAACCAAACCAGTGGCACAAAGTGGGCCAGAAGGGTGACTCTCACCTGGAGTCCAGTGAGCGGGGCTTGTTCAAACAGGCTTTCAAGCGGCTCTGCCTGTCTCTCTCGTGCGTGGGTGATGGGCTTCCAGCAAGGCCCTAAACCACCCACGCCAGAAAGTCCAGTATACACCAGTTTAGTTCCCGCCTGCACCTTGCTGACAGATGAGTGAACTTTAAACAGATAATCCAGGGCAATGTGGAAGTGCAGCTCCGTGCTTTCCTCACCGATCCCTAACTCTGATTTCCATTGGCTTTTCCTCAAGCTAATTGTAGAGATTGACTGGCAGCTCTTCTAGACTAGAATGTTCTCCAGACCACTGTACTGCACAACCCTGGGGCACCTAGGCAAATACATTTTGCTGTGTGAGCCGAGCTGGCCACAGCCTGCGGAGACAAGCCCGGGTCAGAGCGGGAAGTCTCTCGCAGGCTGCCCAAAGGGCAGACAGGAACTGTCCTGACCCGCAGACCCTTGCCCACCTGAGCCAGCCCCACCCATGTTAATGGGAAACCGAGGCCTTCTGGGGGATCTCTGCTGCCCTGGAACTAACTCTGGGCAGCTCAGCATCCAGGTGCTCAGGCCCCCACCTCCTGTCTGGGCAGCCTTCTCTGTGACCGCGCTCACTGCCATCCTGCTTCCAACTGCCAAACTCACCTGCCTGTCTGAAGCCCATTCACCCTTAATTAAAAGGATTCAGTTACAACTGGGGGAGGCGGGAGAATGACAGAGGACGTAAAGGAAAGAAACCTGAGCAGAAGATGCTGAAATGGGGAGAGAGACAGAAGAGGATCATGTAACAAACATCACCCCCACCCCTTCTTTCCACGTGTCCGTTTAATGCACACGCACAGAGTGCAGCAGCGCCAGGCATTGAACCCAGGCAGTCTGGGACCCGCGCCCTGGGCTCTTGCCCTCACTAGTTGCACCAGGCTGAGCATGGGAGGGTGGAAGTCGGGAGAAAGGTGTGGGTGGCAAAGGCAGGCAGAGGCTACCTGAGACACCGTCCTCTTCTCCCCCGGCAGAGCCGCTCACCGTAGTGGGCAAGATTTCCTTCAACCCTAAGGATGTGCTGGGCCGTGGGGCAGGCGGGACTTTTGTTTTTCGGTGAGTGACAGCCAGGAGTAGGGCTGGGGACACATGGCTGTCAAAGACTCCCCAGGTGAGTCCAGTTTGATCCCTTGCTCACCAGTTTCTGCCTTTTCCTTTATCTGCTCTCTGAATGCCCCCACCCCCACTGCCCCACTTCTTGGCCTCCTCCCAGGGGACAGTTTGAGGGGCGGGCAGTGGCTGTTAAGCGGCTCCTCCGAGAATGCTTTGGCCTGGTTCGGCGGGAGGTCCAGCTGCTGCAAGAGTCCGACAGGCACCCCAACGTGCTCCGCTACTTCTGCACAGAGCAGGGACCCCAGTTCCACTACATCGCCCTGGAGCTCTGCCGGGCCTCCTTGAGGGAGGTGAGTTGGGGACTGGGGGGGGGTGGTCAGTGGGAGGTCCTGGGCTGGAGAGTGAAGCTTTGCCCCTTGATGCTGCTCAGTACGTGGAAAACCCTGACCTGGACCTCGGGGGTCTGGAGCCTGAGCTGGTGCTGCAGCAGCTGACCTCTGGCCTGGCCCACCTGCACGCCTTACACATAGGTACCTGCGTCCGCCTCCTGCTCCCACCCTCAACCCCCTGCGTCCCCCAACACACACACACACACACACACACACACACACACACACACACACACACACACACACACACCAGCCAGCTCCCTCTCTGCTCCTCTCCCACAGTGCACCGGGACCTGAAGCCAGGCAACATCCTCATCGCAGGGCCTGACAGCCGGGGCCAAGGCAGGGTGGTCCTCTCGGACTTCGGCCTCTGCAAGAAGCTGCCTGCCGGCCGCCACAGCTTCAGCCTCCGCTCGGGCATCCCGGGCACGGAAGGCTGGATGGCGCCCGAGCTCCTGCAGCTCCTGCCCCCAGACAGCCCGGTGAGTCTTCTCACCAGTCTGAGTCAAACCCCTGGCTGCCGTGTGAACCAACAGGAGGATCTAGCCAGATTTCCTTCTCACATCCACCTCTCTGGCCCCCAGACCAGTGCAGTGGACATCTTCTCTGCAGGCTGCGTGTTCTACTACGTGCTTTCCAGCGGCAGCCACCCCTTTGGAGAGAGTCTTTATCGCCAGGCAAACATCCTGGCAGGGGCTCCCTGTCTGGCTCACCTGGAAGAAGAGGCCCATGGTGAGAGAGATCTGGCCGAGCATAGAAGGGAGGAAGGAAGGGGTGAGGCTGGGTAGGCCTGAAGCCATCCCTCCTCTCCCACCCTCCAGACAAGGTCCTTGCCCAGGACCTGGTTGAAGCCATGCTGAGCCCGCTGCCACAGGCACGGCCCTCTGCTCAGCAGGTGCTGGCCCACCCCTTCTTTTGGAGCAGAGCCAAGCAACTCCAGTTCTTCCAGGTCAGAGGGAAATCTTGGGAGTGGCCCCGAGAAGTCCCAAGTTTGGGTCCTGAGCAACAAGTAAGGGGATGCTAGATGAGACAGGAAGAGCTACCTGGTCCAGTCAGCCTGGTTCCTTGTCTAAATAAGGATAGAGCCTGGTCCTAAACTGCCATCCTGGCACTCCATGGGCCACTGTCACCAGCTTTGCTTGCTCCAGCTGCCCCTCGCATGGGAATATGCCCATTCTTTTCTGCCTGAGTTGTCACTTGTGCTGTGCCTGTGTTGATGGCCCATTCCACTTATGTGACCTTGAGCAAGGGGCTTACCTTGTGTCTCTGAGCATTTGCTCATCTGTAGAATGGGGACAGCAGTACCTTCCTCTCAGGTTGGTGGTAAATAACATGGAGGCATGGCATCAAGCCACACTCAAGAGGCAACGATCCTTACCATCCTAAACCACTCCCCCAAACCATGCCACGCTCCTGGCTTTGTGGCCACGAATACTGGCCACAAGGCTCAGGAGCTCTGTGGGGTCCTAGGATGTCAGTGACTGGCTGGAGAAGGAGTCTGAGCAGGGGCCCCTGGTGAGGGCACTGGAGGCAGGAGGCTACAAGGTGGTCCGGAACAACTGGCACAAGCACATCTCTCTGCCACTGCAGACAGGTAGAGGCCACATTCAGGTGGGCCTGGGAGGCTAAGGGGAGCCCAATGGGGACAGCTTTGCCACCAATTTCCCTGCCCACAGATCTGAGGAGGTTCCGGTCATATAAGGGGACGTCAGTGCGAGACCTGCTCCGTGCTATGAGGAACAAGGTGTGTTCTGCGGCCCGGGCGGGGCCTGGACCTTGGGCGGGCCTGGCCGCAGCTGAGCCAGGCCCTCTGCTCTACCCCGCACCCAGAAGCACCACTATAGGGAGCTCCCGGCTGACGTGCGGCAGACGCTGGGCCGAGTCCCCGACGGCTTTGTCCAGTACTTCACCGACCGTTTCCCGAGGCTGCTGCTCCACACACACCATGCCATGAGGAGCTGCGCCTCTGAGAGCCTCTTCCTGCCCTACTACTCGCCAGCCTCAGAGGCCAGGGAGTCTTGCTCAGGGGCCGCTGGGAGCTGAGGTGGGCCAGGGGCCACAGAAGTGGCCTCCATGCTGGCCGGCCAAAGAGTTGGCCCCGTGGCTGAGTCTGGCCTCAGTGTCACAAGAGACTGGCAGAGGCCTGCTGCCTGGGGCTGTTGGAGCAGGGACATGCCTGGAGCCCAGGCTTCCCTCAGGGAATACAAGAAAGAGAAGATTTACATATGTTTAATGTGTATAAAGCCAAGGAAAGGACAGTCCCAAATTTAATAGAAATATTCTGTACAATTCATATGGTGGGGTTGAGAGGGAAGGGAAGGGGCTATAGAACCCACACCGGAACATGTACAAAAATAACTTATACACAGCAACCCCCACGGGAAAGGACAATGCAGCTCTCTGCCCAGCCCCCAGGGCTGGGGGCCACATTGCAAAAACAGCACTGTGGGCACTGACCAGTGCAGGCCCCACGTGCTGGTGGGAACGGGGAGGGCACGAGTCCGGGGGTGCCTATGAGGAGGCCTTGAGGCGGTTGGTGGCCGAGCGCGAGCTCAGCAGCTTGTCCACCATGGTGCGGGCGTAGCGCAGCCGGCTGGCCAGCTCCTTGCAACAGCCGTACTCCTCCAGGAGGCTCAGACGGTACGTGCGGAAGTCACGCTTCTCATCAATGTAGGTCACAGCTGCCATCAGCGGGCACAAGATGAGTTTGGTATGGTCCTATGAGGGAAGAAGGGAGGGGACTGAAGATCCCAGCTGCTAGTGTGTTGTGGGGGAGGAGCAGGGAGGAAGGTGCCCCAGCAATTGCAGGGGAGTCCCCTGACTCCCTTCCTACGGCCTGCTGCCACGAACAGCACCCACACCTCCCACCCCCCTCCCTGACAATTCACCTCCGGCTCACCTGGAAGAAGTTGATCTGCACACTGCCATTGCTGAGGTGCAGGATGATAGCGCTGCGGGTGCGGAACCAGGTACGCAGGTAGGGAAGCCGGGCTAGCTCGTCGCCTTCCCGTGGTGTGATGTTGGCACCCGCTTTCAACAAGTGTTCGCTCATGTAATTTCGGAAATACTTAAGGAGGGTGATCTGGTTGAAAAGCGAGGGAGGGATTCCAGAATTGGAGTCTGACCCCTGGCATAGCCCCCACTCCTGGCAACACCACGCCCCACAGGCCAGTCTGTACTCACCTTCTTCAATAAGGAGTTGGGATGGGAACTCACACTGAGGTAGGACTCAGTGCCGTCACGCTCGATGTACTGCAGGCTGTCACCGTCGTTGTAGAGGATAAGCCGTGTTGAGTCATTGAAGAGAACCCCCACGCTGTTGTCACACAGCTGGTACCCTACGGGTGGGTGGAGGGTGGAGGGAGACCTCAGACAGGGGGAGTAAGAAGTGGGGAGGCACTGGGATGGAGACAGGAGAGTGTTGAAAGGAGAGAACCTGGGGGCCAAAAAAGGCAAGCCTGTAACAACTTAAAAGGTCACTTGCCTGCACCTGAGCCACCCACCCTTTCTGGAAGAAACCTACCGAGGCCGTACTTATCCGAATAGTCCACCCACTTGCTGACCCAGAAGATGGGGATGCAGGCGGGATCCTCAGCCTCCTCTGAAACAGAAACAGACAACTTGTCCCAGGTCCAGCCGCTTCCCCTCTAGCCCACTCATGTTGCCCACGCCAGGGGCACCTGCTGGGCATCCCACCTGGGCTCAGTCAAGAGGCCTGGGACCCCAGAGAAGAACAAAGCAAGGCCTCTGCTGACAAGCTCAGACAAGCAGCAGCACAGACATTTAAGCAGAAAGTTATAGCACGGTGCACCAAGTTCCACGCCTTCATTCTGTTGACCCTTTTATCAAAGGCCTACTGTGTGCCAGGTACTACTATAGGTATAGAGAACAAGAGACAAAACTCCCAGCCTTCACAGAGCTTACACTGAAGTTGTGGGGACAAAGACTTATCAAAATAAGTATGGACAAGATATGTAAGTTACTGGCATCATGGTAAGAGTCGGTGGCTGACATCTAATTTTCTAGTTTGGAGTGACTAAGGAATTTTAAGAATACAGACAATTCCAAATACATCAGAATGTTTAGTGTATGCAACAAATCTCTTATTTTACATACGCTAAGCAGAGGAGGAGCTGCTAAGCTGTGCTGGGTGAGAAGTGTTATGGAGAACTATGGAGCAGGTGAGGCGGATGAGAAGTACTAGCAGTGGGGGGCAGCGAGATGCTCCTGGTGGTGACACTGGAGCAGACACTTGGGCACAGCCAGAGTGTGAGCCATGCAGAGGTTGGAAGAAGTGCATTCCAGGAGAGGGAGCAGAAGGGGCAAAAGCCCTGAGGCTGGAGCACATCTGGGTCTGTTGTTTCAGGGGTCTTGGAGGATGAATAGGAATTTACTCAGCAGAAGGACAGCATGTGCAAATGTATGCAGGTGGCACATGGAGGTGGTAGAGCAGAGTAGGAAGAGATGGATCAGAAAAATAAGGCAGAAGCCAAGCCTGGGATGTCAGGCTAACTCACATGGATTTTGATTTACAGGGAATGGGGGAACCAAAGGTATTATGGAGTCAGGGCCTAGACAAGGCACCAACACCCTATTGGCTGAGTCTTCCCTGCCTTCTCCAGATGCCCCAGGCAAAGCTCCCCTGCCCGGGCCCCCAAAGGACCCACCTTGCCTCACCAGCCCTCTCTCTGAGGGCTTGGAAGCATTGACACTGTGTAGCTGCTGCAGCAAGTCACCAAGGTGGCAGTCGACAACCTCACCCGTGTCTCGAACCACTGGTTCCTCTTTCTCCCGGGGACGCTCAGGCAGGGGGTTCTCCATGCCTAGGAAAGTGACATACTCATTAGCTGGGCACAAAAGTGGGGTTAGGGAAGGGCACAGGACTCCTTGCCACAGCTGGCATCTTTCCCAGAGAAAAACTCTTTTAGCTACCACTGCTTTTGGGAAACTGATCAGTGCCAGGTTATCAGAGCAGCAGCTGCCATGCTCATTTGACAGGTGCATGGTACTCACTGTGAGTAGTCCACAGAGCTTCATATGCTCAGGCCTCTGACCTGACGTCATGGCCCTGCAGGACACAACCTGCCACTCAGGGAAAAAGCTTGAAGGCTGTAGCAGGTCAGAGCTGCCCAGCTTTAAGCAAAGAATAAAAAGCATCTTCAGCATCCAGGAAGATGGGAGGACTGAGTAATCAGGGCTCATCAATGGGACCAATTCAATAGGCATTTACATGAAAATCTAAGAGATTTTTCCACCCTACAATTTGTTTTATATGCTTATATGTAACCAAAGAGAGTCTGAAAAGATACACGTTACAATTTTAAAGTTGGTTATATTTGGGCAGTAGATGAATGGATAATTTTTAATGTTTAATTTTTTCCCCTAGCAACAAGTGCTAATTTCTCCTTGTATAATATGACATTTTTCCTAATGTTTTTCAATTCAAAAAAACTATGTGAAATAATATCATATTAGGGATTTACTTTAAAAACTCTAACAAAAGTGGGGAGGGTTGGAATAGATAAAATATGTCTGGCCAAATGTTGATAATTATTAACAATGGATAAATATGTGTGGATTAATCATAAGTTCTTTTTGACTTTTTAAGTGTCAAAGGACCCATGATAAGTTTTTTAAATGCTGTATGTTCAAAAATTAAAACCAAAAGGAAAAAAAAAGTAATCATTAAAACAATAGCATTGCACAGTAGCTCAGAGAATGAAGTAAATATCCATGAGTCCATTACTAAGATAAATAATCAAACAGATAAATAAATGAGAGAAGGGACAACTCTTCCTTACAGAAGAATTTCAATTAGTAAATGCAGAAGGGTGAGGAAAAGAGAAAAACTACAATTAGAATACCACTGCAATAACTGCTGCAGACAAGATCCACCCATAGATGCTCAAATCAGTGGACAATAGTTTGAGAAGAAGTAAGACAGTATCAAAGTAGCTCCCCACAGGATAGTTACCAGTTACGGAGGGAAAAATAATAACTCTGCAGTGGAGAAACCCCTCAAATGGCACCTTAAAAAGTGATTGAGAGTAACATCACTAATAAAAAGAAAAAAACACAAGGATTTTGAGATAGGAGTCTGCCAACCTCCTCATTTGCTGGCAAGTTAATAAACTCCTCTTTCCTTCTCCTTGAAAAAAAAATGCCCGCCGTCACCACTTCCATTCAATATAGTTCTGGAAATCCTAACCACAGCAATCCAGCAAGAGAAAGAAATAAAGGGTATCCAAAAAAACAACAAAAAAAGAAATATGTACCCCTGATATGATGCACAGAAAAGGGCACATCACTTCTATGGTATTCTTGTCAAAAATGCAGAACCTCAAGGTAATCATGAGGAACGCCAAATTTAAATGCAAGGACATTCTAGAAAATAACTTCCCAGTGCTATTCAAAATGTCATGAAAAACAAAGACTGAGGTAATGACATAGGTTAGAGGAGACTAAGGATACTTGACAACTAAAAATGCCATGTGGGGTTCTGAATGCGGTCCTGGTACAGAAAAGGGGATATTAGTGGAAAAAACTGAGAGAGTCTAAGCCAAGTCTGGAGTTTGACAGGAGGACTGTCGGAAGGTTAATGTCTTGGTTTTTGTTTTTTTTTTTTTTTTGAGACAGAGTCTCGCTTTCTTGCCTAGGCTAGAATGAGTGCCGTGGTGTCAGCCTAGCTCACAGCAACCTCAAACTCCTGGGCTCAAGCGATCCTCCTGCCTCAGCCTCCCGAGTATCTGGGACTACAGGCACGAGCCACCATGCCCGGCTGATTTTTATATTATATATATTAGTTGGCCAATTAATTTCTTTCTATTTTTATGGTAGAGACAGGGTCTCGCTCAGGCTGGTTTTGAACTCCTGACCTTGAGCAATCTGCCTACCTTGGCCTCCCAGAGTGCTAGGATTACAGGCATGAGCCACCACGCCCAGCCAATGTCTTTGTTTTGATAATTGCTCTACAGTTATGCAAGATGCTGACTTTCAGGACAGCTGGGTAAAGGTATAGGAACTCTGGTTTATTTATTTATTTATTGCAATTTTTCTGTATAAGCCTAAAATTATTCCAAAAATACAGTTTTTTAAAAAAACAAGTAATCCCTAAAAATCAAAAACTAAAAACTAAAATAAATGAACTTAAATTGTACATCAAAATGGTGATATATCCGCACATGGAGAAAAAAATATTTCAAGTAACTTTTTAAAAAACTGTATATTTTTAGTGAAATATATTCTAAGGACACATGGAACTGCAAGAAAAAACATTTAATTTAATAGCATAAACTACTTTACATATGATATATATGATGAAAAATTCAAGTATACTAATGTAAGGAAACAAGATTTTCAGTTTAAGACAAAAGAAATACAAATATAAAAATCAAAGAAGTAAAAATCTGTTAATACATCTGAATCAGGCACTTAAAAATTGCCAAAGAAAAGCAGTAACTCCACAGTGGAAAAAAAGATTGCTATAAGTCAATATTATATCAATTTTAAAGCTCCTGAACTTGATAACTGTGTAACATACTGTGGCTATGTAAAAGAATCTTTGTTTCTAGAAAATATACACTGAATAATTATATTAAGAGTAAAAGGACAGTATGCATACAGCTTATTCTCAAATGATTCAGAAAAATATACATAGAGAGACTGATAAATCAAATGTGGAAAAAATGTTAATTGATGAATCTGGGCAGGGAGTTTTCGTCTACTCCACCTTTTCATAAGCCTGAAATATTATCAAATTAAAATGCTTTAAAAAAAAAGTGAATCAGAAATATCACAAACTCAAGGTTTTATCTCCACCCCCCCATGTTATTTCCTAATTCTGTCCTCTGAGGAGGATAGAAGCAATGGCCACTTAAGCAGTGGCGTATGGTTTTATAAGAAAATGTCCATCTTTAAGGGATGCACTCTAAAGTGTATAGAGATAAAATGGCAAGATTTCTGGAGCTAACTTTTAATACTTCAAAGAAACAAAACATGATAAATGAAGCAAATGTGACAAAATCTTGATAATTACTGAATCTGGTGGGAACAAGCCCCTAATGCCTGTGCTCTGTTGTCTTGCCCAGACCCTTGTTTTACCTTTATTGAGGACTGTGAGGGGTTTCCGGTTGCTGGGGTCCAGGGTGCTGGGAGCGATTGAAAACCTCGGTGGCATGGTGAGGCAGGTGATGGGGAGCCGGGCAGGGATGTAGCCAGAAGTAAAGAACTCGTCATTGAGCAGCTCATTAATGGTTGGGCGGGCAGTGGGATCTGTCTGAAGCATCTTCTGGATGAGGGAGGCTGCCACAGGGTTGATGTGCTGGTGCAGAGAAGAGAGCCATAAGCAGGACATGAGGGGGACCCCGAGGACAGCACTGCCACAAAGGGACTGGAGACCCCAAGCTGACATGCAGGCTCTTGGTCTCAAATATGCCACAGGTTCAGTGGTTCAGAACTTGGTTCAATGCCAAGTTCTTCACTATCAGCTTTATTGAGCACCATTAAGAAGAGTCAACGGGCTGCTGCCTAGCACAAGTCAGATGCACGGTAACAGCCCAGCATCAACTCTGCCCTTACAAGGTGCCAGAAAAGTATTCTAAGCACTCCCTGTGTTTAACTCATTAAAACATCTAAGGGCAGGGATCTTTATTATCATCCCTTTTTTTTGCAGATGAGGAAACTGAGGCACAGGGAGGCTGAATGCCTCGTCTAGTTGGCTTGAGCCATTCCATGCTCTGTCTCTCTGACAGTGAACTGACCCTCTGTGACAGAATTACTATGTCTGTCCTTATGGGTGACAGGCCTCTTGGCTTTACACAGGACACTAAACTGGCAAGTGGCCTTGTGCTAGGCTTTGGCAGGAACTAGCTATTCCTTTAAATGCATTTATGCCAGTAGTTGTGAAAATGCAAACCACTTTGCCATTGGTAAGCCCTTGGATTCACAATCTGTGAGTGTTTACTATATCCAAGGCACTCTGTGAGGTGCTCTGAGGCAGTAACTCCATTTTATAGAAGGGAAACTGGTTCAGAAGACTCAGGCCATTTGTCCAATGTGATCTGGCTGCTAACTGGCAGAGTCCATTTGAATTAAAACAGTCCATCTCCAAAGCACTTCGGAAGCACTTCTGTCTGCCCCCTACTCCCTCCTCTGCCCTGTTTTTGTTTTTTTTTACAATTTTGGGGGTTATCTACCCAATCTCTCAGAATCTGCAAACTCTCTCCCTCTAGAAAAAATGCTATGTGCACATACATGTCAAGTTCTGTTTGCAATTTCAGACATAGATCCTCTAAAGTTCTGTGGCTACCCCAGGGGTGGGACTGATTTATCTCTGTCCCCAGGATACAGCTGGGCTCAGTAAATAGCTTTTTGGGAAAAACATTAATTAAAACTTAGAGTGTTATTAGTTACCTTGGGAATACTGTATTCATTCTTTTTGATCCGGAGGTAGGTCTCTTTTAGGCAAGAGGTCTCAAAAGGTGGTTTGCCCACTAACAAGGTATACCTGTAAGCACAAGGTGGGATTTGGTTCAAGGCTCCCAGACAAAACCCAGACACAGGAGGAATCATGTCAGGCCAGAACCAAGGCTAGGCGTCCATGGTCATGCACTCCGGGCCCCCTGAAGACAATCTCCAAGTCCACTCAGCAGCCCCAGGAGCCAGGACACGGGCTGGGATGAGCCATTGGTAGAGAACAGGTGACAAGACCAGGACTCTTATGGGCTAGTGGTTTTCAACTACAGCCAGCAGTAATGTAGGACTCTGTGCAAGGGCCTCAGAGGCTGCCGTCATAAAACCAAGTCAAAGTGGGTGGGCTTCCTGCTCCTATAGAAGCAGCTCCACATTTAGCAGTTCTGTACTTAAGGCTTAACGTTTCATTTGAAAAAAGCTCCATTACAAAGTAGGAAAGCCATTTTCATTGGTCTAACTCATTTCTAACTCTCCAGTACCATGCCAAAAACAACAAAAAAGATAACATCTGAAAGGGCCCCAGCCTCTGCCTGCCACCAACCCCCTCTAATGGTCTCAATCCAGACAGTCCCCAGGTACCTCATCCTGCCAACCATAATTTCTGGCCTAATTCCTCCCACCCAATGTGGATTAGTGTTTCTAAAATTTTATTGTATATGGAAATCACACAGGGATCTTGTTAAAATCCAGATCCTAGTCCAGTAAGTAGTCTGGGTCCTGAGATTCTGTACTTCTAATAGGTTCCGGGATGCTGCTGCTGCTGGTCTGTGGACCATTCTTGCAAGGGGCTAAAGCAAGGTTGTAGAGCCCTTCCCTCCCCCTTCTCTGGACTCATAGCCCAGGCTACAGGAATCTGACAGAATATACCAGAGTGACATGGAAAGATATGGCACTTAGGCTCTGTTTAGGAGCAACCTGTCCTCTGCAGCAGCCTTTCCACAAGGCAGAAAGGTCAGCCAGGTAATATGTCCCAAAGGGCCCTCCTGAGGCTGCGCAGGTCCTACGACATCTCCCAACTTACATGATGCACCCAATGGACCACACATCCACCTCGAAACTGTGCCCTTTCTTGCTCAGCACCTCAGGAGCTATGTAATTAGGAGTCCCACACAGAGTCTTCTTCCGCTCCCCATCATATTCGACTTTGGTTGCCAGTCCAAAATCCCCTGGGACAGAGGGAGAACAGTGGGTACTCAGATGCCAGTCTCTGCCATCTGTCAATGCAGACAGCTGGCTCAGGTCTGAACATCAAGAACCAGGGTCATTTGATCCCACATGCCTCTGCTCCTGGTATGCAGACCAGCTTGCCCAGGAATCCTCCCACCACGCTGGCACCAGGGAGGTACATCCAGTGACCCTTCTCACCCCTCCCCTTAGAAAGAAGGGAGGGCTATGCTTCTTAAAGAGAATTGACAGAGAGGGAAAAACTCAAATGCTGGCCGGGCACGGTGGCTCACGCCTGTAATCCTAGCACTCTGGGAGGCCGAGGCGGGCGGATTGCTCGAGGTCAGGAGTTCGAAACCAGCCTGAGTAGGAGTGAGACCTTGTCTCTACTATAAAATAGAAAGAAATTAATTGGCCAACTAATATATATAGAAAAAATTAGCCGGGCATGGTAGCGCATGCCTGTAGTCCCAGCTACTCGGGAGGCTGAGGCAGAAGGATTGCTTGAGCCCAGGAGTTTGAGGTTGCTGTGAGCTAGGCTGACGTCATGGCACTCACTCTAGCCTGGGCAACAAAGTGAGACTCTGTCTCAAAACAAACAAACAAACAAAAAAAAACCTCAAATATTTTCAAGGATCAAGCAAGTAACCTCCAAGAGTGCTACTTGGCAGGTCTGTGAAAAAGTAATAGGGAAGGGTGTAGACTGCGGCAAATCTCAGGGAGTCTAATGGAGTCAGTTGCTTTTCAGCCCAGCAAAGAGCTGCCCTAAGGAAATGCTGTCTGTATTACTGAGCTTCCAATGTTTAAAAGGAGCTCCAAATCCAAATTTGTATATCAAGCCTCCCAATTTAAAAAATGGAAACAAATTCAAATTCTTTTTTTAAAAACAATACAGCAGTTGGGGCACAAAAATAATGCATCTGAAGGCAAGATACTGGCTTGTGGGCTCTTTGTTTTAGATTACTGGACTAAAGAGAATTCTAGAAGTAATCAACAGCCTAGACTTCCTACCATTCTTTTCCTTCCTATTTCCTTTTCCCCAGCCTCCTCCAAATTCCTCTTATAGTGGTGTCAAGCACCCCTGCAGGCCCAGCACCTCACCTATTTTCACCTCCAGGTCCTCATTCAGGAAGAGGTTGCCCAGCTTGAGGTCCCGATGAATAACTCGGTTTCGGTGCAGGTACTGGCAACCAAGCACGATTTGCCTCAGGTAGTATCGGGCCTCAGGCTCGGTCAGGGCTTTCCTCCTCTTGTGCAGCTCCAGGAGAGACTGGGGGTAGAGAGGAGAGAGCATGAGGAATGGCGAGGCAGTACTGCGGCCCAAGGGGGAAGAGTTGCTAGGTAAAGGCCGCCCAGGACTGGACCAGGAACCCCCAGGGGATGAAGGAGAGGTTAATGGCAGGTCTCTCAGAATTCCTCCCCACCCCCACCCCCGGGCTTCATTTTCCAGGACAACTGGGATCTGGATCCTGCCCTAACACTGGCCACAGCCATTCACAGCACTCCCTCTCCTACTTGTCTCGCCCTTACCTGGGATCCCTTCTCCTGGCCCCGCTCAGAGTCCCCAGTATCCCCTCCTAGGGCCTCCCCCCAGCAGCAAATCCCTTTTGTGACTTCTCTTTCCCCCAGAAGCTCTGAAGTCTGGCTCCAACCACCCCCTGCCTGACCCAGCCCCACTCCAGAAGCTCGGGTCCACCCCTATCCTGGGACTCCTCTCTCTTGGTACTTCGGGGATCTAGCGTCCATTGCCAGCACCCCTGACCAACATCTCGCGTCTGGGTGCCAACTTCCCTAAGCAACATGACTCAGACTCCACTTAACTGGAACCCCCTCCCCTAGCAGTTTCAAGTGCCAAGCAACCCTTACTAGAGAGCTTTTCCATCTCTAGCTGGAGGTTCCCAGCACCTTCCTCCAGCAGCTCAAACTCCCGGGCATTCCTTTCCCAAGCAGTCCTTCCCAGCAGCTCTGGATCAAGGCGCCCCAGCCCCAACCCTGGCCCCAGGCAGCCCCAGTGCTCCCGGAACGACACTCACCCGCCGGCGGCAGAGCTCCAACACCACGAACACAAAGTCGTTGTCCTCGAAAAAGCCATGGAAGCCTACGACGTGCTGGTGGGCAAGGCTGCGGTGAATGGAAATCTCCATGGACATCTTTTCCTTCTGGTGCGGCTTGAGCAGCAGAGACTTAGGCACGATCTTGCCTGCGAACACCTCCTTGGTGTCTGCGTCCGAGATCTCGAAGCACTTGGCGAAGCCGCCCTTGCCCAAAAAGCGCCCCCGCACATAGCGCCGCCGGCTGCGTGGGTCCACTAGGACCTCTGGGATCTCTTTCGCCGGTGGAGCGGCCGCCGGGGCCCCAGGAGCTGCAACTCCAGGGACCCCAGCTTTGGCTGGGTCGGTCTGCGCCCGTGCCAGCTTCCCTGCAGTCGCCGCTGCACTCATGCTCCTGGAGTTGCTCAGCTGCCTTAGCAGGATAGGGGTAGAGGCGCAGCACAGCTCCTCTCCTCCCCGAATTCAAACGCGGCTCTGGGAACGTTACAAAAGCCTGCGCGCCACTGATTGGCCGCGGGGATTTAAAATCCAAACCCGCCCGCCGCGCGGCACCATGGGAGCGCTCTACACCGCAGCCGCCTTTAAACACGGACTCAGCAGGGGGAAAAACTTGATTGACAGGGGCGTGCAGACAGCAGGCACGTGGGATATCCTGGGAAACCACATGCCCACACCCAGCCCCAGGAGAAGGGGAATTCCTTCAGGACTTCTCCCCTTCTCGGCCAGCCGGGAAGCTCCGGCAATTCACTTGCACCTTCTCCAGGAAGCTTTCCCTAATACCTTCCTCCACCCCCCACCCCACCTTGTAGAATATAAACTCTAAGAACAGAGACCTGGCAGCGCCCGAGAGGCAGCCTAGGATAACCTTAGCACTTGCCTCCGATGCTATCAGCTCTCTGCCAAGCCACCCCAAATAAACTAAAATCTAAGTAGAAACAGGATGCTTGCCAGACAAAAGGCACCTTAAAGGCAAGTCCCCATCCCTTCTTCAAATAACTGCTGCTCCATAGCCCCTCTGTAACATAGGGCAACGCTGCTTCAAGTATAGTCCAGGGACCCACAGCATCACCATCACCTGAGAGCTTGTTAGAAAGGCAAAGGCAAATGTTCAGGCCCATCCCTGACCCCCGTCAGAATCTGCCTTTCAACAAGCCTACTCAGGTGATTCACACACACACTGAAGCTTGAGAAACAGGATACCAGAGTGAGTCCCCAATGATGCCACAAAGCTGCCTGGCCTGCTGCTGTACTGTATTTCCCAGTGCTTAAAATAGTGGACACTCAAGTTTTTAGCCAGTGGGAGAGACAGTTGCAAGAATGCCTCATAAACTGGCAGGTCATGGCCAAATGTGTCCTGCAGGGGTGTTTTGTTTGGCCTCCTACTTTTTAAAATTGGAACTCATTTATAGGATTTAAAAAGAGAGCTCACATAAAAATTCAGGTTTGTGACTTGTCCTGAAAAAAAATCAGAAGCTCTAGCAACTCTCTGTTTGCCACAGTTCCTAGCTACCCTTCCTTGCCCGTTTGCCTGTCAGGCTTCTATAAGTACTTCAGTGGCAACCTTGGAACAGCAAAATACCCAAGTTAGAAGCTTTTTCTCTGTCCCCCCCTTTTGCACCCTGTGAGGCCCGTGATGGAGCCCAGCAAAAATCAGCCATATTGCAAGCATCCTTTACCTGCCTCTCAATTAACTGGACTGATAATGATGTCAGTGATGCTGTCTTTTCCACCCATGTCCCAAGCTCCCAGTGCAATGCTTGGTAAAAAGGTGTATTACTAAAATGTTTGCTGAATGAAGGTAAGATTTTTAAAAATTAAGTTATTATTTTGTATCCTTATGGGTGTAAATTCTTCTATTTTAACTTTTTGTTGAAATTTAATATATTTACAGAAAGATGTACATATAATTGTACAGCTCAGTGAATTTTCACAAACAGACACACCCATTATAAACTGTACCCAGATTGAGAAAGAGAACACTACTATCACCCCACATGTCTCCCTTGTGCCGTGCTGGGGGTACCCAACACCACCTCCCAGCCTGAAGATTCACTGGGAGAGTCACAGACTTGGCATACAGTCACACTAATGGCTATGCTTTATTACAGTGAAAGGCTATGAAGCAAAATCAGCAAAGGAAAAAGGCACATGGGCCAAACCAGAGAAAACCAGGTGCAAACCTCCCAGAGTCCTCTCCCAGTGGAGTCACACAGGACACACTTAATTCCTCTAGCAATGAGTTGTGATAGCCCATGTGAAATGTTGTGTACCAGGGAAGCTCACTGCAGACTGAGTGTCCAAGGTTTTTATTGGCACTGGTCATATCATCATCCTCTAACACATAACAAAACCCCAGACTCCCAGAAGGAAAGCTGGTGTTCAGCATAAACCACACTGTTTGCACAAACAGTTTAGGCCTAGTGAGCCACCATTATCATTTAGCAAATGGTAAGAACCCTCCTGAAATCCAAGCTCCTAGATGCCAGTCAAGGGCCAATCTTGCAAACAGGTCTAAGGAGAGCAGTCACAGGCCTGCTTTATTATCTCTTCTGTACAGTCTACTTCCTTGCTAAGGTTTCTTTGCAGCAAAATTATCATCAGTAGGACCCCATCTAAAAAGCTGAGACAAACCTGCAGTATGGACCTCAGGTCTGCCTGTTAGGGGTCTTGGATTAAGCCAGTTAAAATAAATCCCATTAACCATAGAAGTCTATCTTAGAAAACCAGGTGGCTTTCTCCATAAGTTTCTCTATGGACCTTTTTTATCTGACCCTATGGCATCAATTCAGGGACAGTACAACTCTGGCTAATATGCTGAATGCTTTCCAGGGCTGAGGCAGTGTCATGATAGTTAAGGTCACGTGCAAAAGTATAGTCCCAGGGCACAGGTGGTACCCCTGCAAAAAGAATTTGCAATGTTAGGGTACCCCCAGCAGGACATACATCAGTCAGGGAGTATAGGTTAATGGGCTCCCAATGTGGCCTCCCACCGTGAGGCCTCCTTCCCTGGTGTTTTAGTTCCATCTGAAAACTTCCTGGAGTCCTTGGCTTCTGAGGGACTGCCTGAAGGCAGTGAGTTCCTAACAGTTTTGCTTATTCACGGTACAAATTTATCCATCTCACCAATGTGGATGACATTTGAAGGTGTTCTTCCTGAAAAGTGCTGGAGCTGGGGCCGCCCTCTGTTGTCGGTATGAACTCAAAGAACTCACAGCATGTGGAAAAGCAGCACTGAGAATTCTCCTTCAGAAAGAGGAAGCTTCCAGGAATGTTGTGAAGAACAAAGATCAAGCCTTCTGAGATGCCAGGTTTTAATTTTTTAATTTTTTTAAAATTTTAATTTTTTCTCCAATGTTACAAAAGCAGTGTGTCCTGTTCTGTAATCCTAACTTTATATTTTTTCAATCATCTCTTTTTTTTTTTATGTTTTATCATTTTATTAGGAATAATTCCAAATGGGTTATGAAGAAAATGTATTCATTGAATTTGATGAGTTTTCCAAAAACTCTTAATGAGGGTATGTTCACCAATAAACAATAAAACATCAGCAGAACTATCATATACTGGGCAAAGAGTCAGGGTGATACCAAAAGCAACATGCAACATAAAAAAGATACAATATAAAGGAAGACAATCTGCTGAGTATTAAATCAGCAGACTGTCCCAGGAATGATAAAGGTATCAGTAAAGTTTTTTTTTTTTTTTTTCAATCATCTCTTACTCTTAGCCAGGCCTTTCCTCTGGAAGAGTTGTATGCAAGAGGCACAAAAGCATGTTTACAGATAAATATTTTCATACAACTGTAACCAGAAAGATACATTCTGGAATTGGTAACTATGTGTTGTGGATTGAATTGTGAATCCTCCAAATTCATATGTTGAAGCCCACACCAATAGTACCTCAGAATGTGACTATATTTGGAGATAGGCCTTTTTACAGAGGTGATTAAGTTAAAATGGGATTATTTGGGGGTGGGGGCTAATCCAATATGACTGGCATCCTTATAAAAAGAAGAGAGTAGGACACAGACACACAGAGGGACCATGCAAGGCTACAGCCAGAAAGCAGCCATCTACAAGCCAAGGAGAGATGCCTCAGGAGAAACTAAACCTGTCGAAACCTTGCTTTTGAGCTTCTAACCTCAGAACTATAAGAAAATAAATGTGTATTATTGTTTAAGCTCCCAATTTGTGATATTTTGTTCCAGGAGCCTTAGCAAACTAATAAAGGGTGAAATCCTGAATTTTCAAAAATTTCAAAATGGGTTTATATAACTTTCTACCCCTTTTGTCCTCAGTGAGCAGCCCAGAAAAGAGAAATCCCTTTTTGAGGACAACTACATTTTAATCATCAACCTACCTTATTAAGGCATGTGTACTGGGGAAAAAGTGAAGGAAGTAGAGTCACGCTATCAGTCCACTTTTGCAAGCTGCAACTAATGCAGAAAGCTGAAAGCAGCACATGTTCCACAAAAAGTACAACCCCGCCGGGCACGGTGGCTCACACCTGTAATCCTAGCTCTTGGGAGGCCGAGGCGGGCGGATTGCTCAAGGTCAGGAGTTCACCCCGTCTCTACTATAAATAGAAAGAAATTAATTGGCCAACTGATATATATATAAAAAATTAGCCGGGCATGGTGGCGCATGCCTGTAGTCCCAGCTACTCGGGAGGCTGAGGCAGAAGGATCACTGGAGCCCAGGAGTTTGAGGTTGCTGTGAGCTAGGCTGACGCCATGGCACTCACTCTAGCCTGGACAACAAAAGCGAGACTCTGTCTCAAAAAAAAAAAAAAAAAAAAAAAAAAAAAGTACAACCCCATTGGCCAGGCATGGTGGCTCATGCCTGTAATCCTGGCACTCAGGGAGGCCGAGGCAGGCGGATTGCTAGAGGTCAGGAGTTCGAAACCATACTGGGCAAGAGTGAGACGCCATCTCTACTATAAATAGAAAGAAATTAATTGGCTAACTAATATATAAAGAAAAAATTAGCTGGGCATTGTGGTGCATGCCTGTAGTCCCAGCTACTCAGGAGGCTGAAGCAGTAGGATTGCTTGAGCCCAGGAGTTTGAGGTTGCTGTGAGCTAGGCTGACACCACAGCACTCACTCTAGCCTGGGCAACAAAGTGAGTCTCAAAAAAAAAAAAAAAAGTACAACCCCATTGCTGGGGGGCTTCAGAAGTGTTTCAGTGATCATGGACTTGAGGGAACTGGTTCAAGCCGGTAAGACATTTTGCTGATATCTGCTTCTGAAAGACATTGTCTCAACACTGCCAGTACCATTTCAGGGGCCTTGCAGCTCTACAGAAGCTACCCCCAGGAGATCAGCCAGCTGGATCTGACTACCCATAGTGACCATCTTCATTTGTTAAATGCCAGTTTGTACTTAAGAATGGCTGAGGCCAGCCAGAACATGGCTGGGGAACACCCTCTGGGCTCTCACTGACCAGAACAGGATACCGAGAAGGCCTCCCTAGCCACCGAGACCCCTTCTGTATAGCTGAGGATCTTCCAAGGATGTGTTAAATAGGAGCAATGTTTATCTGATTAATTTCAAGTCTGCCATCACCCAGATGGGTCAGTGACTAGGAGAGGAACTGTGGCCTCAAGTCATGAGTGAATTTGTTCATACAGAAGTGACTAATTCAGGGGCCATCACCAACCCCAAACAACCATAAGGGCTCTGTGCAGCCATGTAAAGTCGAATCGGTCACTAGGAGGCTCACAACTCAATCATTCAACCTGTTCCGTGAACCAGGGATCCTGCAACATGAGGGTTATCTGAAGCTAGAGTGGGGTCTGGGGTGAGAGGGTTCACATCCAGCCAATTGCTCCAAGTAAGTACGTGCTGAATAACCCACATGCATACACCTGACTCCTCAGGAACTCACAACTAGCGGGGGCTCAGAAAGAACACAGATACATAGCTAAAACTCTTCATAGAGCCCCTCCCATAAGGTGCTTCGGGGATCATGCGGAAGCAATTCCAGACAGAAGACTATCCTACAAATGGCTCTTTATTAAATACCCCACTTTGGCTAAGCAACATCCTCTCTCTGCTCCCTAATCTACACCCAGGTATCTCTTCAGGAGTATCTTCAGAAGATAGCTCCCAAGACCAAGAGTACTGAGAGACTGAGGGTCAGCAGGGAGAGGGAGGAAAGTTAAGAGCTTGGAGAAAGGGACAAGGCCTACTGGACACCTAATGATTTTTCCCGCCCACTACTCATTCGTCCCCTTCTGGAAATATCACCTGCACCACAACTACTAGGTACCAGTTCAGGTAGATACATGCTAGGCCTAGCCACTCAGTGTAGTCCACCTTTTTGGCCACACTGATGACTTGAGGCCTTCCTGGTCTAGACCAAAGAGAACCAAATCCAGGGATTTTGTCAGCAAAGTGGGGAGCTCTTTCCACCAATAACTGAAGGTGTGGGGTCACTATGTAAAGCCTGAGAATAAAGCCAACTCAAAGGAAACCAGAACTGAGTGCCACAGAGAGACAGGTCTCTGATAACACTGTTTTGAGTCCTGGTAAATCCAATTGAGCCCTGGCCTTTTCAGCTACATGAGCCAATAAATTCCCTCTCTGCCCTAAGCCAATTGGAACAAGTCTCAACCAGGGTCTTTCCCTCTGTCTACTCTTCTGGGAGTATTCTCGAGACAAAAAGACTTTTTTCTCTAGGGTTAAAAGAGTAATTGTCTTGTGACAGACTGTCCCTGGGGTGAGGGCCACCATGGAGACAGAGTCCAGCTGGTCTTTCCTAGGATACATGCTCCCCCGACTGTCAACACACTTTCAAACAATATCAGTACATAATTACAGAGTCATTCACTATTTGTAGTAGCTATTGTTTTTGTCTTCCCAGCACCTTGTTTTTGTAATGGACTCTGCTGTTCCCTGCCATGGGGGGATAAAGGAAAGGCCATGATGCCGATTGGGTTAATCATATGGCTGAACATCCTTGGCCACAGTGACTGATTCAAGGCATGGAAAGTTCACGACACTGAGAACCTTCTCTGAGATTTTCCAAATTAGAACTGGAAGGGAAAAAAACCTTTCATTCAGGGTCACCAAGTGGGGAGAATATAAATCTGGAGCTGTGAGCTGTCACGTCCCCAAATGCATGAAAAAGGCCCACTTGCAGCAGGAGGAAAGGAAGCCAACACAGAGGCCTGATCAGGTTTGCTTGCTTCTCCCAAGGTCCATTCTCTCCCTCTCCTTTTTACTACTGGAACCTCCTCCCTCAGAGACTACGCTGCCCAAATAAAGACTAAATTTATAGCCTTCCTTTTCGCTAAATGTAGCCACATAACAAGACAGTAGGCACCTGGGTGCCTGATGACATCGTGGAACCTAGCCACCTGACTTACCTGCCCTGGACCACCTGCCTATGTCTATACTGTTAGGGTGAGAAAAATAAATGTCTATCTCATCTGAGCCACTGTGTTTTGGTGGTCTCTCTGCTACAGAAGCCCAGTCTTTACTACTGGGAAGGTGAAAAAGATATAAAAAACAAAAAGCCCTGATGAGGTTTAAATCTTAGGACATAGTTCCTGCAATGATAGTAAGTTGTTATTTACAGAGTACTTTCTAAGTGCCAAGAACTGTCCTTAATGTTTACATAATATCTCATCGAATCCACACCAACTCTCTGAGGTGCTACTGTTATTCTCGTTATACAGTTTAGGATACCAGGGCACAGAGATTAAGTAACTTGCCCAAGGTTCACATTATATTGCTGCTCAAGATAGTCTTTTCCATGATATGTTGTATAAGCCAATAAAACCCATTTTTTGCCTAAACTGGTTCAAACTGGATTTCTGTCACTTGCAACAAAGAGTTCTAAACTAGATTCTTGTCTCACCTAGAAACCTGTTCTCCCATTTAACTGGCCAGACCACAACTGTAGCTGCAAGACAACAGGGCACATTGGGAGGAGACATCTTCTCAGAGGGGATGCTAGGCTTCCTGCCTACAGCAGACAATGTTGGATGGTGCACCCAGTACCCACTTCCAACCTCCTTTATCCTTGCCTGGCTGAGAATGCAAAATACTCACTTTCTTAGCTTCCTGTTCAGCAAGGGCTGGCCAGATGACACAATTTTGGGAAATAAAAGGCATCATAACATGGAGGTTAAAAGTATGGGCTCTATAGCCATAATGCCTGGATTCACTGTTACTTTAAGCTGTATAAATTTGGCAATTTACTTAATCACTGTTCCTTGGGGATAATAACTATATCTACTTCATAGTTAATGGTAAGAATTAAAGGAATTAATAAATATATACAACTCAGAAGAGTATCTGGTGCAGGATAAACACTCTATAAGTATTTGCAATTGCTATTTTTTATCACCCATAAGTGCCAATATGTAACAATCTTTAAGATATAGTAAGCAAAAGAAACAAGGCATAGAAGAGTACATAGAGAGTGCTCCCATTGTATGAATAAAAAGAGGCTGGAGTACACATCTATACCTGTTCATGCATGCACAGACTATTTCTTAGAGGACAGAGCAAAAACTGTTCAGAGAGGTAGGTAGGCTCTGGAAGTAGAACGTGGGACTGGGATTCTAGATTGGGAAGATCAAATTTCATTATATCTCCCTCTCTTACTGATTGGCTTTTTATAATCATATGCTTGAATTACTTAAAGATTTTAAAATTATGTTTGTTTTAAAAGGCTCAAAAAAAAAATAAACCCACTTTCTCTTGACTTCAGTTGTTTGTCAACAAAATGGAGAGTCAGTTGCATAAAGTGACAAGCTAACACAGGCTGGATGGTAATGTTAGATATGATCTGGAAGGTTTCCAAGAGGTTAGCCTAGAGAGCATCTGAACTCTGCCAATTCCAAGATTCACCTTTTTGGTGGCACAAAAGAGGAAAGGACATGGGGGAGATGCCAGGATATCACCAAAAAAAAAAAAAAAAAGTTACAACCATTATAAACTGCTGGTATAAGACAGAACATATAGCACATGTGCTCCAAAACAAGCTTGTCTCATTTTTTCAGGGCAGAGCTGAAGAGCAAAAGCTGCAGGTCCAGATAGGCATGGTGTGATTCCTGGATCAGTCATTTCTTCACTCTATAGGTTGGACCAAGTTAGCTAATGTCTTAAGAGATTTTTCTCATCTGTGAAGTGGAAATAACACCCACCTGACTGAATTGGTATAGGAAATAAACAGGCTAGTGAAGGTAAAGCCCATGGCACTGCACTAGGCATGCAACAAAGTGCCTGAGGAATGGCAGCAGTTGTCACTGGAGGTGGAAAGTGATCACTTTCAAATGACTTGTTCCATGTGTCAATATTTTAATGTACAAACATAAAAAAGTGACAAACCAGAAATGAATTTTAAATTGAACTAGTAGAGATGATTACATATAGCTGTTTTTGCAAATTCCACAACTGGATATTAAGTCAAGATAGTTCCTGCTAGATTCTAGCCTTCAAAGCTGAACTGTTCTGCCCTATTCACTTATAGCAGATCAGATCATTAAGCAAGGCCAACCTTCCCAGCCCCTCACCTCTTAATCTTCCTTTGAAACCATAGGTCAGAGCAAAACCAGGAAGGGTTATGTTATTAGCCAGAGGAGATGGTAAGAATGGCTTTGGCAATGTCATTTACTCTTTGGGGAGTCTGTACCCACAAGATGATTTTAAAAGCTCTTCATGAATATATGTGATTGGGCTCAAAGTACAGACATTTTGCTCTGAACTGTGGGGTTTATGGCAAATATAGGACAGGTTGAATGGTTCTAAGCCAGGGAGCAAGTGTTTACAAATGATGTGTCTTCAGTGAAATCCACAGGAGACTCCTATCTGGAACCTTGCAAAAGTAAAATCTGGGGTGTTGAGATGCCCCTTTTTAGTGAAAGCCAGAGGCCCTAGACCAGAATGCTAGAAAGTCTTTTATTAACCACCCTGGGATGGTTAAGGTCATTTTGGAAAGAAGAGAAATACTAACCATCCCTCTCTTCAAGTTTTAATAGCCAATAGGAATCTGGGCTCTGAAAAGTCACACGCACTTTCCTCCCAAGGATTAAGAGCAATTGTAACAACTGGCAAAATGTGTTAGCAGCAGGAAAGCTGAGCGTCACCTGTGTGAATGGGTAGTGTGGATAGTATATGGCTGTGAGCAGCATAGCAGCTACATGACCTCCAGGCTGGGAGAGCACTACTGCTGCTCTGCAGGCCTGTTTCAGGCAGGATCCAGCCATCCACAGGACCTAGGGGTGGGAGTGTTGGGAACAGATGACTCTTGTGTTCCACAGATAATGGTATGAAGTGACTGTTAATAAATAGATAAGGTATAAGCACAGTGGCCGAAGACAACTCTTCCAGCTGTTCTGTTATTAAAATCTTAAGAGTTTGGAGCCTTGAAGGATTGAGAAATTCTAAAGGATGTTTTTAAAAGAAGGAGGGTAGAAGGTGTCAAAGACACAAGAGTTCTTTGTAGATGCTGACTGGCTTACTCTGTCCCCAGGTTCATTCTTAGAGCTCAAGCAAATCCAAGACATGACACAGAGACACTAGACTTGTGTCAGGGGCAAAAACTTCTGGTAGTAGCTCTTGGTGACGTCAATCATCAGCTCCTGAGTACACTCCGGGAGCTCCCCTGAGAAGAGTCCTGGGGAAAGAAAGACCTGGTTCTAAGGAGCTTGAATAATTTAAAAGAGATTAAGGTATTTCTCTGGCAATATCCTTCTTACCTCAGATCAGATGCACATCTGACAATCGCTTAAAACAACTGCTGGGGTTATTCTGGCCCAGCACTTGCTAATAACAGTTAAACTTTCACAGTTGGAAATAACTAAAGAAAATTTCTTCCCTCTCCTCTACAAAAGCAGAGATGTGTGACACAGCAGAATGGCCAACTGCCTCCCCAAAGAATATGAGTGATGATTTTGTACACCTTTGAAACTCATGTTCAATGATCTGAGTGATGAGAAATGGTAGAAAAACAATTAAACCACCAGTGGAAGGTATCATATACTGTCAAATCTCTCCTTTCATATCATCTTCCATCTGTGAATTTGTGATGTGCCCCTGTACATGCTACATGATTTCAACCATGTAAAACAATATGGAGAAGATACTGTCTTGGGGTGGAGGTGAGGAAATGTGAAGTTTTCGTCTTCCTTCTGCTTGCCAGAGTTTTTCCCAAGTTTTTTGACATGAGCATATATCATTTTTGTTTCCTCACAGGTTTTGTAACTTGGAACTCTGTGCTTCTGAAGGGCTTTACCTGTGGGCATTCTATCAGCCAAGGTCAAGAGGTAATGTATTTACTTTCAGGTGTCCCAGAGGTATCATTGGTCTTAGACCATGGTTTATAACAACTTCTCAGTTTGGGGATTCCTGGGCCATGTGGAAAGTATGAATCAAACCCCTAACCAACATGAGGGTAAGCCTACAGTTAAAATTCTCAAGATAGATTTTTCCTTTTTCCACCCAAAGCCCAGGCCAAGAGAAAGATGCTTCTTTGTATTGACCCTGTGCTGGTGGCAGATTTGTTCTACATCAACCTTTTCTTGAGGAAGAACTCTTCAAGAATATCTGAGGATTTCTCTGCCATGTGTGGATCCAAGGCTTTGTTTCCCATGCCCACATGATTATCACACCCTAAACTGTTCTCGTATTAAGACAGCATTGACCTGTGCAATCTTACAGCTTGGGTTTAGTTTCCTCTTTGTGTTTGACCCTTGATAATTCCTTAGTTTCTTGTGAACCCAATTATGCATTTAAAAAGATGCTCATTATATTTTAGATAGTATTTCTAGGTATTTTGTAACAGATGAATTTTTCGGTTAGCTCTCTCAACATATTGCCAGAGATAGAAATTGCATGCATTACATTTGTGTTGGAAAATAAAAATGAGTTTTAAGGAAGTTAACATAAAAATAATCAAAATCCAATGTTACCTGGGCAGCCTGAGAAGACAGTAAATGGTGGGACCACAGTTTCTGGAGGTAATACCGTGTTGTCAAGAATTTTGCAGCAGTCTTTTAACACACACCGGCGCCCCTGAAATTAAAATCTTGTTAACAGGAAATAGATCAGGAAATGGGTGTAAAAGGTGTCTAATTTTCTGTGTGGAAGGCTATTTTATATTTTCCCCATTCATGATATGGTATAATAGCCAGGGACAGTGATAACAGGCTTGGTTGCAATTCCCTGCTTTAGTGATAACTGATGTGGAGGAAGAGGCAGGGTTGTAAGAGTGTGTTTTTGTGTACATTTGGGGGGAAGAGTTGTATGCTGGGGACAGTACCAGTTATCGTAGGCATGTCCTATGTGAATTTAGTCTTCCAAGAGCTCTGTTTAATTTTCTCCCAGAGGAAAACAGCAAAGGGATGGAGACTAACTCTCATGATGTCGACTGAACCCCTGGAGCCAATTGGCCACATTAGGATCTACTTCTGTTCTCTTGGTTTATATTAGCCAACCCATTCTGCTTTGCGCCTACCAGTTTAAGGTTTGTTCGTTTGCTTTTCTGTCAATTCCAACTGGAAAAGTCCTCACAAATTCAGTGAAGTTATTAGTTCATTTGTTCTCCCACAGTTGAGTGATAGTTATTTGAATGTTTGGGCTGAACCTCATGCTTGACTTTATCCACTGTCACCACTTTTCAATTCTGTTGTGATCCACAGCATTTTGAGGGCAAGAAAGAAGGCGTGGAAGACTCATCTGTTTCATGGGTTAACGGAAAAAAAGAGGCTTCTGTTGTACAGTTTAAAGTTGTGCCTCAGACTACTTGATGAATAAACAAAAGTTACGGCCTTTATTGACTACATTTACATCACCAGGGCCTGTTGTGCTCAGATTAGACAATATGATTAAAATATACATGATTAAGAATATGGAAATCTTGACAAACACCAAGACAATGGGCTGGGCTTGGTGGCTCATGCCTGTAATCCTTATACTCTGGAAGGACAAAGTGGGAGGATTGTTTGGCCAGGAGTTTGAGACCAGCCTAAGCAAGAGTAAGATACCGTCTCTATAAAAAATACAAAATACCACACATGTGGTAAAAAATACCACATATGTGGTAGCATGTGTCTGTAGTTCCAGCTACTCAGGAGGCTGAGGCAGGAGGATCACCTGAGCCCAGGAGTTTGAGGTTGTAGTGAGCTACATGATGATGCCACTAGACTCTAGCCCAGGCAACAGAGAGAGACTCTGTCAAAAAAACAAAACAAAACAAAACAAAACAAAAAAACAATGCTATCCTGTCCAGACCCCAGATTTTATCAAAGAACATGAAAGACACTTTGATCTGGTTGCATCTAAAATTTCTCTCATTGTCAGGTTGTATGTTGCCTATGGAACAAAAATTTAGAAAAAAATTTAATAAAATTTCTCCCATTATTAAATAGACAAATCATATGTATTTCCAGGAAAAGGTAGAATATCACATGAATTTCTTAAAAAGCTTATACCCCCACAGTCTGAATTTCTCAAGTGGCTAAGTTGTCTCCAGCTGGGTAGATAATAGCATTGACAATACTTGGCAACATCTTTAGCTCAAAAGCAAGTTATGACTTAAGTTCTTCATTCCTCCTTTAAAAAATTAATATTAAATTAAACAATATGGCCACTCTTAAAAAAGAAAAGTTCTCTTTCATAAATTACCTGCTAGTGGAAATTTCAGAAATATAGCAACTAGTTATCTCCCTTGGTGAACCCCAATTAATATCAACTCAAATAATTCCTGTCATGTCTGAGCTCCTAATAACTCAACACTAAGCACATGGGGCACAGAATAAAAGGAAGTGGAACATGCTACAGAAGGCTTAATACATTCCCGTTCAGAGGTCCACAGACAAAGGGCCTAGAAAAAACAGTGGAAAGGAATGCTTTAGCTGTGTACCACCAGCTACCACACAGCCTAGAGGCACCTGCTTTGTCCACTAGTTGGCCACTCTGCCCACTTAGAGAAATGATGCTTAACTGGGTTTCAGAAACATTCTTGGTAGCCTGATGAACCAAATAGCAGCAAAATACACAGTGAGCTACCATGATGCAGCTGCAAAAATGCAGGTACTTCTTAAGTATAAATGGATTGGAAATAGCATGGAGAGTAAAAGCTGAAACCACTTCTTTATTCTTCTGTGGAGAAGTTTTCAAGGAGTCAAGAACTGCAGCCATGTTGCTAGTATTACAGCCACCTATATATCCTTATGCAAGTTAGTTAGCATCTTGGAGCCTTGGTTTCCTCATCTGTGAAATGGCACAGAAAACCAAACCTGCAAGGATACTGTCAAATTAGAAATGATAAATGTAAAACTCATAGCACAATAATAGTACCTATTGATATTGCTTGTTAAGCTTTCACTTTAGGCATTTGGATAATTCTAATTAATACCTACACCACCTTCACATATCAAAACAGAATTTAGATTACCACACAGGATGCTATAGGAAGGATCTGTGCATCATGGGGCCAGTTGGACTCTAAAAGAGTTCCTGCTAGCTCTGAGATTCTAGAATTCTAAAAGAATCTTTCTCCTTAGATTACTTGAGGATTTGTCAAGGGTCAGCAAGTACCATCAATACTAAACAATGACTATGTCATGAATTATGTATTAAAAAGTAGTACAGAAAGCAGAGCACCTGACAGTAGAACTAGAATTCCCTAAGCATTGGAAAGAGAATCTAGATTTTAACCTTTTGTACATTTTGCTTTGGGGATGAAGGACAGGGTTATATAAATAGAACTAGGCTACTCTGGTTATGTCTTCACTTTGCCAAGAAAAATATCAGAAAAACTCAACTGTGGCTTGGAAGGCTAGATTTCATTAAACAGTCAGGGTGAAGGGAGAGGGTGGATTTTACTGTCTTCCCCCTTTCTTCAATATCAGGCTGAGCCAAAGACCTTCTGTCTCTAATACTAGGAATTTCTCTGAAGCAAGAATATCTGGCAGAACCATCACTTCCCTTAATTCTTGACTAGCAAGTCAGACTGGAATGGTTTTTGCATCAATGTGGTTTTCCAGTGCACCATTTGTTGTGCCTTCATGGCTCCTGGAATGTGCACTGCATGGTTTCTGCAAGTTTTTTGATATTTTAGGGTCTGAGTCTTACCCAGAGCAGACAGCTGGCTGTGTATTAATGGATATGGCCATTAAAGAAACATAAGAAAAGTCTTGGCTTTTCCTAGAATCTAGCCTAAGGTACAAAACTAAAATGTAGGAAACATTTTCCCTAAACATTAATGCAGGTCAGCTCTGGACATTAACATTCTCACTCAGGATTTTCTAATAAATCCCAACTGAAATCAAACACTTCATCTATGACATAGCAAGAAATCCAATCTTGTTAAGCCTTGGCTGAGTTAAACTGATGCCTTGGCTTCTATGGACCAGGTCCTACAGATTCGGCTGAGCAAGGGGCCCACTTGCACCCTGAACTATTTGCAGTTACTCTAACAGCAAACCCTTTGGTGACTCTGACCCTTACACATGTCAATCCCTTTGCTGAAATACCCATCCTCCCCCAACTAGGGGCCACTTTCAACTCCCCCTTCAGATCCCCTCACCCCCATTAGACTGTAAGTTCCATAAAGTAAGGCAACAGCAGGCTATTATAGCAGCATAGTTAATCATTTCACCTGGGTTTAAATCCCAGCTCTACCACTTACTAGCCTTGTCAAATCCCTTCGTATCTAAGGTCCTCAGTTTTCTCATTTGCAAATAGGGATAATGACAGTACCTAAAACTCTTGGATGGTTGCAAGGATTAAATGAAATAATCAAAGGAAAAGGTTTAGGCCGGGCGCGGTGGCTCACGCCTGTAATCCTAGCACTCTGGGAGGCCAAGGCGGGTGGATTGCTCAAGGTCAGGAGTTCAAAACCAGCCTGAACAAGAGCGAGACCCCGTCTCTACTATAAATAGAAAGAAAATTAATTGGCCAACTAATACATACAGAAAAAATTAGCCGGGCATGGTGGCGCATGCCTGTAGTCCCAGCTACTCAGGAGGCTGAGGCAGTAGGATCACTTGAGCCCAGGAGTCTGAGGTTGCTGTGAGCTAGGCTGCCGCCATGGCACTCACTCTAGCCTGGGCAACAAAGTGAGACTCTGTCTCAAAAAAAAAAAAAAAAAAAAGGAAAAGGTTTAAACATCATATGGAAGAGGTTCCATAAAGATTAGCCATTATTATTACATTAACGTTTAGAAAAACCTCCATATCTGACAAGAAAGACTCAACCTTGGGAAGTTTGGAAAATACTCCTACCCCGCTTGGTCCCAGAAGCAGAGACCCACTAATATAAGGGATGGGAGCTGGAGGGGAAGTGAGGCTGCTTAGCCAGCCAAGGCATCATACTCACAATCACACAGTTCTTGCCAACATGAACGTAGGAACCAATCTGAGCTGCGTTGACCACACAATCTTCCTCAATAAAGACATGGTCCCCAATATGTAATGGAAAGAATGCAACACTGGAGAAGAAAAAGAATATGAACAAAGAAAGGTCAAGGTGATATTAGGTCAAGGTTTATAGAACTACATATAGTAATCTCAACTTCATCATTTTGTCTTAATAAGACTGTTCCTAGCAAGGAAAGAATCCTCAGGCTAGAAAAATTCTATAATGTTGAATAAGATAAATGGAATTACTAGATTAAAATCAGAAATAGCAGAATAAAGAAATATACAACAAGAAAGCAAAGAAGGGACAAGATCTTCAAAGTTAAAAGAGCAGGCACCAAGTAAAAATTAATGAATGTTTGCTCATTCTTACTTCCTTTGAAAATGCTCACAGATCACATCTGCCCTATAATATTTCAGGGGATTGACATCAGGTTCATGGGCTATAATTTCCAGCACTCAACATTCTGAAACTTTATTCATTCACTGATTTTACTAAGTGCCTACAATGTGCCAGACTCTATGCTAGGAATTAGGGATACAATGGTGAGCAAAAGAGCCACAATTATGCCCAAGGGGACATTACAATTAAGAGAATAAATGAGATTAAATCATTATATAAGTAAATGAGATTAAATTATTATATAAGTAATTAGTTACAACTGTGACAAGGGCCATAGAGATACAATATCAAGTTATGAGAGTATAACAAAGAGACTTTACCCAGCCCATGGGTTTGGGAAAAGCTTAATGGAAAGTGACATTTAAGCAAAGAATTAAAGGATGAGTAGGAGTTAGCAGGCTTTCTCCAGACTTCTGACATCATTCCCATTCTCCAGGATTTGTCAAATGTCACAGAAAATGGTTCTGTGATCACATTTATAGTAATTTCAATACCTTGGGATGTAAAATATTTGGACTGGAACTGATATAAAGTAGCTAGATATAAAGTAGCTGACTAGCTCTTTCTAGTTCTGTTCTGTCAAGAATATTTTGTCAGAGATCATACCTGCCCTCTATGAACCTAGAATTTATTTAAATCTTTCTTAATCATTAGTATTTTTAGTCTATACTTCTTGTGCAACAATGCATTCCTTGACCTCACCACAGTCTATAGCAGTACTAACAATACTTTAATTTTAAATTAAACACCACCACTAGTAGCAGCATCTTGCCCAAGACTTGAACAAGGTAATTAAATTACATACCCTTTACTGAATTTCTTGAATGGTGGCCTTATGACACTACGACTCTTCACAACACAATGGCGTCCAACTCTTACATTTGCCAGATCCCCTCGGATAATACAGTCATTCATCACAATGGTCTACAAAACAAAGCACATTTAAAAAAATTTTTTTTAATTACCAACACAGCCTAACATAACAATAAAAAAGAGAAGATAATAAGACACTGATTGAAAGTTATATTATATAATCCACTATATCAAATGTTCTGTCAAAAAGGATAAATTTTAGGTAAAAGGAAAATTGCCCTCATGACAATGATTGCAGTTAGAGATGATCTCATAGAAGTAAAAAGTAGAACAGATGATACTAAAGGCTGGGAAGGGTAGAGAGAAGAGGGAACAGGGAGAGATTTGTTAAAGGATACAAAATTACAGCTAGATAGGAGTAGTACTTCTAGTGTTCTATAGCACTGTAGGATGACTATAATTGATAATAATATATTATATTGTTTCAAATACCTAGAAGAGTATTGAATGTTCCCAAAGCAAAGAAATAATAAATGTTTGAGTTGATGGATATATTAATTACCCTGATCTGATAATTATACATTGTATATACTGAAATATCACTATGTACTCTATAAATATGTACAATTATTCTCTGTCAATTAAAAAATAAAATAAATGAAAGCTGAGAACTATGGCACTCAGTGATATAAATGTTTCCTACTGTCATTATTATAACAGAATGTAAAAAAATGTAAGTTGTAGAAAACCAAATAAAGTTAATATACATTATTTAGGGATACTTACATATGTGGTAATTTTTTTTTTAAATAATAAATAATTTATAAGACACAAAATTCAGGATAGTGGTTTCCTCTTGGACGGAGGCAGAAGAAAGAGATAGGGAAAAAACATAAAGATAGTACTTATTATAGCACATTGATTATGCCCCAGTTCTTCAGTTGGGTATTGGATTCATTGGTGTTGACTTAATTTTTATGCTTTATAACATATATACCACACATTCTCTTTTGAATACAGCAAATATTGCCAAATAAAAGATCTTTTTAAGAAGAAAAGAGGGCCCTGAATAGCCAAAGTAATCTTTAAAAGAACAAAGTTGGATGACTCATACTTCTTGATTTGAAATGTATTACAAAGCTACAGTAATCAAAACAGTGCAGTGCTGCATAAGGATAGACATATAGACCAACCAAATAGAATTGAGAGGCCAGAAATAAACCCATACATCTATGACCAACTGATCTTCTACAAGTGCCAAGACCATTCAACCAGGAAAGATTAGTCTCTTCAACAAATGGTGCTGAGACAACTGTACTTCTACATCCAAAAGAATTAAGTTAGACCCCTACCTTATACCATATACAAAAATTAACTCATAGCGGATCAACAACCTAAATACAAGCACTAAGACCATAACACTCTTAGAAGTAAACACAGCAGTAAATCTTCATGACCTTAGGTTTGGTAATGGATTCTTAAATATGACACCAAAACCATGAGCAACAAAATATAGATGAATTGGACTTTTTCAAAATTAAAAACTTTTGTGCACCAAAGGACATTTTCAAGAAAGTAAAAAGATAAGAATACAGAATGGGAGAAAATATCTGAAAATCATATATCTGATAAAGGTTTAATATCCAGGATATATAAAGAACTCCTACAAATCAACAATAAAAAGACAAACAATACAATTTTAAAATGAGCAAAGGACCAAATAGATATTTCTCTAAAGCCGATATATAAATAGCCAATAAGCACATGAAAAGATGTGCAATGTCATTAGTCATTAGAGAAATGCAACTCAAAACTACAATGAGATACCATTTCATACCCACTATGATGGCTATCATCCAAAAAACAGAAAATAAATAACTAGTGTTGGTAAGGATGTGGAGAAATTGAACCCTGCACAATGGTGGTAGGAATGTTCAATGGTGCAGTCATTATGGAAAAAAGTTTGGCAGTTTCTCAAAAAGTTAAACTAGACTTGCCATATGACCCAGCAATCTCACTCAGAAGAACTGAAGACAGGAACTGGAACAGACACTTTCAAGTCAGAGTTCATCGCCACATTATTTACAATAGCCCAAAGGTGGAAACAGTCCAACTATCCATCAATTGAGGAACAGATAAGCAAAATTTGGTACATGTATATGATGGAATATTATTCAGTTATGAAAAAGAATAAAGTTCTGATGTGCTACAACATGGATGAACCTTGAAACATAATACTAAGTCAAATAAGCCAGACAAAAAGGAAAAATATATTATTCTACTTATATGAAATATCTAGAATAGGCAAATTCATAGAAAGTAGATGGAGGGTACCAGTAGATGGAGGAACTGGGGAGAGAAAGGAATGGGGAGTTATTCCTTAATGGGTACAGAGCTTCTGTTTGGGGCAATGAAAAGTTTTAGAAATAGATAGTTGGTATGTTTGCAGAACACTGTGAATGTAATTAATCCCAATAAGCTGTACACTTATTAAAATGGCAAATTTTGTTATATATAGTTCACCACAAGAAAAAAAAATCTTCCCTACAAAGTCACAGGAAGTGTCTCAGAATTAGCTAAGGGATTTCCAAAAAGCCTCCACATACTTGCTAATGAGTCTAATGGACTTAACTGAATTTTCTAATTCAATGTAGAAACTGTGTCTGAGCAGCAATTACTGAACTCTATTTCTTTTCCATTGAATTTCGTGGTATTATGGGCTTAATGGAGTCTAATTGTGTCTCTACTGAAGATACCTGTCATCTCTTGGTTATAGTGAGATTCTTGTCCTTCTGGAAGTTAGAGATGTAACATTTAAAGGAAAATTAATTTCAAACTGGAGTGTGTTCCAGATGGCAGGCAAAAACTAAGAACTTCGTTTGTCAAGCTCAAATATACCTTGTGATATTTTCTCAGGTTATTTACAGATTTATACTCATCTCTTTGCTATTCCCATTTATTCAGACTACAAGCTTCTGAGCCTTTCAGATTCCATTTTGCACGTTTGTCTCATATTTTAATACCTTTACCAATTCTTATATTCATTTTAAGAGTTTCAGTTAATAGTGAATTATTAATTATTAAACAGAGGGTTTTATGAGTATTACTTTAGTTTCTACCTTAAAATACTTTATTGCCTATTTATGTCCAGTACCTTATGGCAAACTACAATACTGTAGAATAATCTTAAGAGGTTCTAGGTGCTACTGGTATTGCTCCTGGTATAAAAAGGAAAAATGCTTTCTGTTGCCTCCTTTTATTTAACATTTTTTGTATTCAATAGATCCAGATAAAAGAAAGTAAAAGAGAATTGAAAAATGTACAAAAAGAAGTAGGAGACATGGCAACATTTTATCTGCCCTGCTAATGTGATAATTAGTGGAAAACAAGCAGAGGTTTGCATTCTGGAGATGGCCTTTCCTTACCTTGCCATTAAGAACGATGTTCTGGCTTCCACACAACACTGACTGGCGACTAACTTTGTTCCCAGATGCCTAAAAGGAAACAACAGAAAACTGGGGTAAGGAAACGGAGTGAGTTTCTAGGGTACAGGTTTCCATCAAGAAAGTTCATATTGAAGAATAAAAAACTTGGAATGGGCTGCTGTCCACAATGGAATGAGTCCGGGATATCAAAAAATTAATTACAGCCTGGAGCTGTAATTAATATTAGGATGGGCCATGTGTGGTGGCTCGCACATGTAATAACAGCTTTGGGAGGCCGAGGCGGGAGGATCGCTAGAGGCCAGGAGTTCGAGACCACCTTGCCCAAAATAGCGAAACCTCCATCACCACAAAAAACTAAAAAAATATTAGCGGGGCTTGGGGAGGCGCCTATAGTTCCAGCTACTGGAGAGGCTGAGGCAGGAGCATCGCTTGAGCCCTGGAGATGGAGGTTACATTTACAGTGAGCTATGACCGGGCCACTGCACTCCAGCGTGGGCGACAGAGCGAGACCCCGTCTCTTAAAAAAATAAATAGGATAGATGAGACTTGTCCTGTCTTCCTGAAGGCACTTTATCCCTACGAGAAAACCATAAATAAATACAAAAAGCCTAAACTGGCCACGAACGGACTAAATAGCAAAGCCAGGCCAAACACGAAGCGCCACTTGGGATTCCCTGACTAACTGCCAAAGGGCCCCGGGGTGGGTGGGGCAAGGATAGGATGGCGCCGCCCGTCAGGCCTCAAAGGGACGCAGGCTTGGAAAGGGAAGGGCTGATGTCTACACTCGCGCACCGTCTCGATGTACTCGGACTTGTTGTAGAGCAGCTCGCCCAACTCCATGGCCGCCACCTCCCTTCTGCAGCACTGGATCCTGTCAGAGTCTGTCAGGCGGTCTCTCTGAGACGCCGGCTACTTCCGGGTGCTCCTCCACTTCCGGTCTCTCCGACAGCTCGGCTCTCCTCTAGGCGGCCCCGCTCCGTGGTTCGGCAGTCTCCGCTGCGCATGCGCAGGACAAGCGGTGGATTTAATTGGCCAGGGCTTAGAGCGCGCCAGGCCCGCTTTGGGTCAGCTGGGTGCGCGCGGAGGGGATCCCCGGGTCTTCGTTCTATTTCGGGGCGCCTCCCGGGTCCCCAGGGTCAGCTGGGTCCCGGAGCCCGCGGGGCTGGGGCCGGCGACGGCTGCTCTTTTCGTCCGGCCGCCTGCCCAATGGACGAGCCTCCCGGGAAGCCCCTCAGCTGTGAAGAGAAGGAAAAGGTGCCTGGGGGTGCGGGAAGGGCGGACGCAGGACTGTGCCCCTGCTTTCCCAGGTTTTTAGGCCTGGCTTTGTTTCCTCGGCCGTCCGAGGGCAGCAGTATCCTCTCACCTACCCTCCTCTCAGGGCTGAAGGGGCACAGAAATGAAAGCATAGAAAACTAGGGCGGTGCTCACGTGGCGGCGTTTAAAGAACAAATTTTTATTACTGTAGCAATGCATAAATACAAAATGTAAAACTGTATGGATAAAGTCCCCTTTGACACTCTTCCTCCTCCCACACTCTCAATCTTCCCTTTTACTTCGTACCCTCGAGTAAATCTTTTAACAGTTTGGTACTTCCAGATCTTTTCGTTTTGTTTGTGTGTGTCTGTGGCGGGGGAGGAGTGTATCCCTAACCACCAAAAAGTAATTATGTATTTTTTGGAGAGGAGAATTTTCATAAATGGTATGATCTGAATGGTTCTGCAATTTACATTTTTCTTCTCCATGTTTAACATCCGCGTTGGGACATGTTTACCCTACTTTAAAAAAAAGTTTCATATAGTATTCTGTAGTTTGAAAGTGCCCTGATTTCATATTATTCCAGTGATAGAGTTTTCGGTCGTTTCCAGCTTGTGCTGATGTTAACTTGAATGTATCTTGTGCTTGCTGTGCTAAATTGTGTTAAACTCATTCACATTAAATCATCAATCCTCTTATCCTGGCTTACCTTCTAGTTGGGGGAGAAACATCATTTACAAGTAAACTAGATAATTCTCAGATATCAATAAGGTTGGTAGGAAGCAGGCAAGCGTAAAGGTTAAGGGCACAGACTCTAGAATCCTACTACTTGGGGTTTGAATCATGTCATTTATAAACTGCATGATTTTAGACACATTGCTTTGAAACGAATCCATGTTTCAGTTTGCTTATGTGTAAAATAGTGATGATAATATTAATAATAAAATCTACTTACTGGGGTTGTTGTGTTAAATTAGTCAATACATAGAAGTCACTTAGAAAAGTCCCTAGCTCCAACTGAGGCACATATAAAAGTATCAGCTATTTTTATTGTTGTGTATTTGAGAATGAGTAAGGACAGAGGAGACTCCTTTAGTACTAGAAGTGCTGTTGTAGACAGAATGCTAGAAAGAGAAAAATTAAGAAAAAGTCACACAGTTGGCAGTTCGTCTATTAGCATGTTTTGCAGTTGGTAGGGTTTTTTTAAGGTAGGTTCTGAGGATAGAAATTTTGGTGATGTTTTATTAGCTGAAGGATGAGTGCCTCTAACAGGTTCCTAGAAAGCAGAAAAAACAGGGGTGGCTTTGCTGCTATGCTGTTAAGAGAATCCTTTGAACCACAGAAAACAAAGGGAATCTAAACTTTCAGAGAACAGTAGTTAGACTCAGCCCAGTTCATTTATTTATTTAATAAATTTTTGTTGCATGCCTGCTGTGTGCCTGTCTAAGGAATTCAGCAGTGACAGCACCAACTTCACTGGTCTTCTGTGTGTTCCTCAAATACATTTAGCCTATTGCACTATGGAGCTTTTACATTTGTGGTTCTCTCTGCCTGGGATACCTTTCCCTCTAAAAAAGCTAGCTCCTTTCTCCATCAGTTCTAGGCTCAAATGGTAGTCCTCAGAAATGCCTGTCTGACCACTCTAGCTAAAGTAGTCCCATCAGTAGGCTAGTAATTCTCTCATATGACCCTGTTTATCTAGATATTTATAACCCTGTAAAATCATATTATCTGTTTTCTTGTTTATTATCTGTATCCTTTACTGTGTGTAGATTGCCCTGACCACTGTATCTCTATTATCTGGAATAAAAACTGACACACAGTGGGTGTTAGTTATTGTTCCAGATGCTAGAGATAACTGGACCATTAAATGACAAATGAGAGATTCATTTGTTGAATGACTGAGGATGACAGCTTCTGCTACCTTTGAGGATCTTAGGGTGATGGGAAGAAACAGAGAAATAAATAACATAGTGTGGTAAGTACTGTGGTAAGGAAAGCATAGAGCAGGGATAGTGTCTAACCTAGATTTAGAAAAGGACCTAGAGGTCTACCCCAACAAAATAAAAATCTAAGTTAAGGCTTGAGGAATCAGTAGGAATTAGCAAAGGCAGAAAATGTTCCAGGTGATAAGAACAGTTTTTTTGCAAAGATCCTGAGATAGTAAAGAGCTTGCTGCATGACTTTAAAAAAAAGTTTGGTGCTCTTTGAGACTTGAAAGTAGGTCAGAATGAGCCAGTGCTATTCCCTTCACTACATCTTGCTGAGGGACCCCTCCAAGCACTGTGTATTCATGTCTGGTAGTCACTGCCTCCTTTCCCTCTCATTCTACCTTTGCACTTGCTCAGTATTATTGGTGTTTTTCTTCTTCCAGTTGAAGGAAAAATTAGCATTCTTGAAAAGGGAATACAGCAAGACACTAGCCCGCCTTCAGGTGAGTGAATTGTCAAATTAAGGTGTTACAATACAAACTATGTAAAAACAGTTCTTGACAATAATGAAGCTTTTAAGAAAATGTATTTCTTGAGCTGCTTTTGTTTTCTTTAGCGTGCCCAAAAAGCTGAAAAGGTTAAGAATACTATTAAGAAAACAGCAGAAGAACAAGATTGCTTGCCCCAGCAGGAAATCTCACCACAGCTAAACCACTCAGGTAAAGCTACCCCAGTCACTTATGCTGGCTTTATTATTCATTTCCCAGATATATTTGGCTGCTGTTCTTTTTCTCACAGACTGAAGATAAGGACTAGTAATAGATTCTTTTTACTTAACATAAAATCCATATGCCATAAAATCCACTCAATAAGCTATGCTTTCAGTTGGGTTATTTATTTGGTTGCTCTTTTACCCTCAGCTTTTAGAAATTATATTTATTATTTAAATATTGGAAAGATAATTAAAAAAAAATTTGGCCAGGCACAGTGGCTCACACCTATAATACCAGCACTTTGGGAGGCCAGGAGGATCACTTGAGGTTGGGAGTTTGAGACCAGCCTGGACAACATAGCAAGACCCCATCTCTACAAAAAAAATTTTTTTAATTAGCCAGGCATGGTGGTGCATGCCTGTAGTCCCAGCTACAGGGGGTGGAGGCAGGAGGATTACATGCCTGGGAGTTCAGGGTTGTAGTGAGCTATGATCACACCATTGCACTCCAGCCTGGATGACAGATTAAGACCCTGTCTCTAAAAAAAAAAATAAATTTAAGTATCTATGTATGAACAGAGTAAAGAGTGTGGATGGAAATACTCCAAAAAACAATGGTCATTTATGGCCTGGCTTACACCTATAATCCTAGTACTTTTGGGAGGCCAAGGCAGGAGGATCACTTGAGGCCAAGAGTTTGAGACCAGCCTGGGCAACATAGGGAGATTTCTTCTCTACAAAAACTAGAAAAAGTATTAATAGCTGGGGGTGGTGGTAAGCACCTGTAATCCTAGCTAATTGGGAGGCTGAGGTGGGAGGATCACTTGGAGCCCAGGAATTTGAGATTGCAGTGAGCTATTTGATGATGCCCCTGTGTTCTAGCCTAGGCAACAGAGTAAGACCCTGTCTCAGAAAAAAAAGTCATTTCTGGTGTTAAAATTTGAGTAATTTAAAACCATAAAATTGGGGGCTTTTGAAACAGGAGTGATATTAAATTACTTGAGCCAGAAAACAAAAAATACATGAGATTAAAAATGAAGAGAAAAGATGATGGTGATAAAATATAGATGATCTTTTAATTTAAAAAACTTTTTGAAGTATAGTTCTATTTGTTTACATTGTTTATATTTACTTAAAATTTTATAGTTTATTACTGTTTTAAAAACTTAAACCCTGGCCGGGCGCAGTGGCTCACGCCTGTAATCCTAGCTCTCTGGGAGGCCGAGGCGGGCGGATTGCTCAAGGTCAGGAGTTCAAAACCAGCCTGAGCAAGAGCAAGACCCCGTCTCTACTATAAATAGAAAGAAATTAATTGGCCAACTGATATATATATAAAATTAGCCGGGCATGGTGGCACATGCCTGTAGTCCCAGCTACTCGGGAGGCTGAGGCAGTAGGATCGCTTGAGCCCAGGAGTTTGAGGTTGCTGTGAGCTAGACTGACGCCATGGCACTCACTCTAGCCTGGACAACAAAGCAAGACTCTGTCTCAAAAAAAAAACAAAAAAAAACTTAAACCCTGATCTGCCCAAATGAAATGCCATTGATCCTTAAATAAATGTTTGGTAGTATTTATATTAATATATAATCTTTAAAAATAAATGTGAAATATTTTTTGTTTCATTTTAAAAGGAAAATAATAATTACTTACTTTTTTTCCCTCCTCAGAACCTAAAAATGAAGTGTCTCTTTGTGACAAGTTGCAAATCAACACCCATTTTGATGAAAAAACTGGAGAAAAGACATCTATCACACTTGATGTTGAGCCTGGGTCCTTTAACCCTGGAGATGGCCAAGAAGGATTATTTATACAAAGAACAGATGACATCCAGGAACATCTTTCCCACAGGGCCAGTGGTCCTGATGGTAGAAAAAGGCAGAGTAAGATGCCAGGCAGGAGCAAGAAGCCGCAGAAGAGAACATTTATTTCACAGGAGAGAGAATGTGTCTTTGACACTGATTCACTCATACTCTCTAAAAAAAGACTACAGGGAGAAATCTGTAGCAAAAATCGTAAGTCACCGGTAACTGAAATAAGAACTCACCTTTCAAATTCTCCCAAGTCCGAACTTCCAGATTGTCCAGGACCAGTTACAGAAACTGATGGAGAGGGTGTATTAATTCCACCAACTGCCAAACCAGAAGGAAGTGTTGATACACTCCTAAGAAGTACTAATTTCCCCAAGGAGACTATTATTCCTTTGCATACTTCATCAGATAGCAGTAATAGTCAGTACCTTGAACATAAGCCTCCTGAAGGTAACTGTGAACTTATTATTCAGGGCTTAAAAAATGTTAGCCTTGCTTCATCTGTAAACTTAGAGGCACAAAGCAAAAAAATGACTATATTTACAGAGTTCCCATTAGTAAATAAAGCTATAAGTGCAAGTGGTCAGCTATCTAGAAGTCACAATTTAGAGGCAGATAATTCATGTTCTATAAATGAAGTCACTTACAATAACTTATCAGCAAATGAAAACCAAAACTTAAAAGAACAAAATCATACAGAGACATCTTTACAATCTTCCAGTAATGCTCTTGATGGTAGAAATGAATGTCTTCAGGAAAATGAGGCTCTAGGTCAATCTAAGAGTCTTGGCCTAGAAGCAATCTCTCCTGTTTCTACAGAAAATCAAATATATTCTTGCACAATGCTTGAAGGCCTTCTGTTTCCTGCAGAATATTATGTTAGAACAACACGACACATGTCAAACTGCCAGAGAAAAGTAGCTCTGGAGGCTGTAATTCAAAGTCACCTGGGTGTCAGGAAAAAAGGATCTAAAAATAAAAATAAGAAAGCAAGTGAAAATTTATACCTTTCCAATGAGAAAACTGACCAAAGTGAAATTAGGTTGTCTGACACATATACAGGACAATCAAGTTCAAGAAGTCCTCAGAAACTTCTCTCATTAACTGAAGTCAAGTCTCCCACTGGGCCCACTGAAGATAATGATTTTTCTAGGAAGGCAGTTACCCAGCTAACTGGCAGAAGACACAGAGGAAAAAGAAAATCAATCTGCCTCTCAGCATTAGATCACCATGAACAACTTTTGCCAACTTCTGGCACCTTGGACATTAACAGTTCTGGGGAGGAAGTCATCTTGCACAAATATGGGAACAAAACAGCGATTATTCATGCTAAGAGGAAAGTTCAAGGTAAATCAAAATGTCTTTGATGATGATGATAGCTAACACTTACTGTGTGCCTTGTACTTTCTAAATGCTATACAGATACATTGAATCATCACAGCAATCCTACATGAAGTAGAATTCACCCTTTACAGGTGAAGAAACTAAGGCACAGGGAGATTAGAGTGACTTTAATTAATTTAATTATTTAAATCTGACAGTATGGTACCAGAGTTCATTAATATGGTTAAAAGTGGATAGTGAAAAGGAAAATGTATTGGGTGTTTACCCAATATTAATATTTATTCAGGGCCAGGCGCTGTGGCTCACACCTGTAATCCTAGCACTCTGGGAGGCTGAGGCGGGCAGATTGTTCAAGGTCAGGAGTTCGAAACCAGCCTGAGCAAGAGTGAGACCCCCGTCTCTACTATAAATAGAAAGAAATTAATTGGCCAACTAATACATATAGAAAAAATTAGCCGGGCATGGTGGTGCATGCCTGTAGTCCCAGCTACTCGGGAGGCTGAGGCAGCAGGATTGCTTGAGCCCAGGAGTTTGAGGTTGCTGTGAGTGAGGCTAATGCCACGGCACTCACTCTAGCCAAAAAAAAAAAAAATTTATTCAGGTACAGCACAATTTTTATCCATGGGTAGCTTTATATCTAATATATGATGTGTTTTTGAAGTAAAATGGAGTGTGTGTTAGAGTAAGAGCACATTAACTGATTCTCTTAGAAATGATCATGTAATAAAAAGAGCTGAGCAACTTTTTTGGGAAAATATCAACTGTAGTCTGTGTAAGGTCCATGGGACACAAGATTTTGAAGGACAGTAAGCAAGGCTATGTTGTAATTTAAACTTTCCATTCATTTGCTAGGAGTTAATCATATCTGATAAACTGAGCACAAGAACTGGATAATTCATTGTGGCTGTAAACGAGGTATCGAGTCTTTGTGCTCTGTCTCAACTATTCAACTGTGGTGCTGCCAGGCACTGTGGCTCACACCTGTAATGCTAGCACTTTGGGAGGCCAAGGTGGGAGGACAGCTTGAGGCCAGTAGTTTGAGACAAGCTTTTTTTCTACCAAAAAAATATAACAATTAGCCAGGTACAGTGGTGTGCACCTACAGTCCTAGCTACTTGGGAGGCTGAGGTGGGAATATCAGGCTGCTGTAGGAGGATTGCTTGAGCCCAGGAGTTCAGGCCTTCAGTGAGGTATGATTGTGGCATTGTAGTCCAGCCTGGGTAATAAAGTAAGACCCTGTCTCCAAAAAGCAAGAAAAGAAAAGAAAAATCTGGTGCTAAAGCAGCCAAAAACAATGTGTAAATGTGACTGTGTTTCAGTAAAACTTTATGTACAAAAAGAGGCAACAGGAAGAAAAAATAGGCAGCAGTCTGCTCTGTGCAGACTAGACATAGACCTTAGTCTATGAGCTATGATTGATTAATTTAAAATAATAATCATGACTTTTTTCATCCTTTTTTAAGTCAACAAGAATACAAAGGAATCAAAGTAGGTAATAATCTAGAAAGTTTCTTTTTATACAGTACTTTGAAATAGTTGTAATTTTAGTAAGCAGAAGCTACATTTAGTTTTTCTTGAAGTGACATTCCTATAACAAGATTGACCATTTTAAATTAAGTGAACAATTCAGTGGCATTTATTAATAGTACATTTATAATGTATAACACTTCTATCTAGTTTTAAAACATTTTTATTACCCCCAAATCCCATATTTGTTAACCAACTGCTTCCCCATTTCCTCTCCCCAGTCCACCCTAGCTCCAGGCAACCACCAATCTGCATTCTGTTTCTATAGGTTTACAATTTTTCTGTTCTGGGTATTTCATATACATGAAATTATATAATATGTGACCTTTTGTGTCTGGCTGCTTTCACTTAGCATAATGTTTTCAAGATACATCCTTGTTGTAACATGTATCAGTACTTCCTTCCTTTTTATGGCTGAATAACATTCTGTCATTCCATCATGTGTTTGTACCAGTTTGTTTATCCATTAATCAGTTGGATACAACTACATTTTAAATGTTACAGGATTCCTTTCACAATAAGAGTAGTAAATTACTCTTTGCTTGAAAAGAGGACTGAGTTTTCTTTAGTTGGAAGAGCCAGCATTTTGTAGACTGTATTCTGGCAGTCTGGTGGAATCATAGTTCTTAAGGTGGGCAGAAAGTTAGAGATTTTTAGCCCTGTTCCCTTAAAAGGAATAATGAGAGGAGGGAAAATGGACTGAACTGTATTGTCCAGGGTCACACAGCAAATCAGTAGTTGAGCTGGATCTTGACCCTAGTTGTCCTTCTCCTGGTTAATGATGTCAGCAATACATTTTGGGTAGTGCAGAAAGATGGTTAACCACCAACCTATGACCATCGCCAGACCCTTCACCCAGGTTTCAAAGTCCTGTGTGGGAAAAGTGACGAATGTTGTCCACTATATTTGGATTTAGAAGCTCATTCTTTGTTGGGTATTAATGTCTCTTTTGTGGGTTTTTTTTTTTTTTTACTGTTGTTGTTACTTATTTTTCTGTTTTAGGGAAGGAAGGTCATCGTCAAAAAGAGGACTTCCTGTCTTCCAGTGATAATGCTTACTTATCTTTGGACAATGATGCTTTCAGTGTTCATTTTCATAAAAACAGAATGCTGAGTTTAAAGCAACTGTCATCTTTTCTCAATATCACAGACTTTCAGTTACCTGATGAAGACTTTGGGCCTCTTAAGCTTGAAAAACTGAAATCATCCTTAGAAAGATTGATTGAACCTTTTGAATCAAATATTTATGGAGAGAGGCATCTTAAGAAGGAAAATTGTATTACTATTCTGGAGGAACTGATTCCTAAACAAATAGACACAGAAATAGAGGACTTGGAAAAGGAACTTACTGTTCTACCAGGAAAAGCACATCCTAAAATGTCAGATCTAAAAAGCCAGCCTACAAATAAGGACCTCTCTTCATCCATATTGCTTTTCACTCCCTTAAATACACTTGCACCTGAGGAAAGTGACAGACCTACTGCTGACATGTGTTCGCCTGCTTTCCCCATCTTAGGTACTACTCCAGCTTTTGGCTCCCAAGCATGCTATGAAAAAGTGTCTACAGAGGGTGTCGGACAAACTTGCTCTACACCCCAGGTTTCTCTCTTGAAAGACACAGTCAGTCTTGCTGGTGATAGTACAACCAGCCCACCAAAACTGGTTACCAGCCTGCATGTGTCAGGTAGGCAAAGACCACCTACCTGTGACTGTGACTCTGGGCCCCAAACAACACCTCTGCCTGTTGAGTCATTCACTTTCAAAGAAAATCAGCTCTGTGGAAATACATGCCAGGAGTTATGTAAACATTCCATTGAACAGGTACAATCTGTTTCCTTTGTGAAATTTTTTTCTGAAGGAATGAAATATCTTAATGAAAATGGACAACATGACTTCCTTACGCCCCTTGGTGTTTAAGAATATTTTAAATGTTTCGTTGATACGACTTCATTGTAAACATTAAACTCAATCTGGGGAAATTATGGGTAATTAAAATACATTTCTTTTAAATATTGGGGATTCTATTCTCTTTGTCTTCAATGAAACAGTTGCATTTGGAGCTTTGCTGCTGTTACCAAAGGAAATAAAAACATATGAAGTAGACATTTGATGAGTGAGTGATGCAGGCAGACATCATACATAAAGTGTAGATTAATGGTGTGACTTTTGTTTCCGCAGACTGAAATAGCAGATCTTCCTGCTTGTGATAGCTTAAACCCAGGCTACCTACAATTGGTTTCAAAGTTAAAGGTCAGAATATTCCCATATAGTGTGTCTTGTGTGTTACATGTGAAAAATTTAATGAATTGATAAGAAAATTGAAAAGAATTCAATCATATGGCTGGTTATTCTTTATTTAATACTATTAAATAAATTGGTAAACAGATTCAGAAAAACAGATTTGAATTCTTTGTTTTTAGCAATATTTACCCATCTATATTTTGAGCTCCTCTGAAGTTTATTTATATGTCAAGCTATTGCCAAGAACAACTTAGGCCAAATAACTCAACGTCTTATCTGAATTTAAGTCAGGCATTTGGACAGAAAGAGTGAAACTCCAGTCATTCATGTCTCTTCTGCCCAAATGGTATAATGTTTCTAGAAGAATCAATTATGGTGATTTCACTTTATAAGAAAATGGGTAGTAGGTCTAACTTTTGATGTAGTGAATGATTAATCTTTTTTATGCTGTGTGATAACTGAAAATGTCTCAAGACATTATTAAATGTCCTGGGGGTGGGAGTGAGAATTGGGGCCCAAAAGCTCCTCCTGTTGAAAAGTACTGGTGTGGAGGAAGGAGCTTCAAATCCATCTAAAACGTTTCTGCCAAATTACTGGCTGTGTCACCTGGGACAAATTATGTAACTTTTGAGCCCCAGATTTCTTTTCTATAAAAGATATATAGTAATATAGTAATACCTATGCTCTGTTTCAGAACTATTCTTAAGTCAATTTTAATAACTTAGTTTCATAAGGAATCAACCATTTCATTAATATTATTATAGATTTTTTTTATTCTGTGTATTTGCAGATACATATACATGCTCTCCTCCCCATTCTCACATTTCTGAAGTTTTTTTTCCTACATCAGACTTAAGAGATTTGTCCATTCTGTCGGTCTGCCAAAAAAAAAACCAAAAATGAGTTTTGGTTGTGTTGATTATTAATTGGGTTTTTTTTTCCTAGCTCATTTATTTCTGTATTTATAATAATTATAATTACTAATCTCTGTTTTTCATTGTTCTTATTTTGTTCTTTTACTTACTTCTGAGATGTATACTTACTTAATCTTTCTTTGTTTTCTGATAAATGCCTTTGTGATTATGATTTTTCTTGGAAATACTGCTTTGGCCATGCTCTGTGGGTTTGGATACACAGTGCTTTCCTTGTCATAATTGGAGATTAAGTATAATGTATGTTGTTTCAATGTTTTTCCCTCTTCAATCCATGAGTGCATCTATCAGGGTGCTTAATTTTCAAATGGATAAGTTCTTATGAGCTATCTTTTTGTGATTAAATCAGAATTTATTCCATTCTGGAGCTATACATTTTTTAATACATCATGATGCAAGTATGTATAGGCAATTTGTTTTTAGTTTCATAAGAACCACAAAGCTCTTTTGGGCTGGGCTACAGGGGCTCAGGCCTGTAATCCTAGCACTTTGGGAGGCTGAGGTGGGAGGATCACTTGAGGCCCAGAATTCAAGACTAGCCTGGGCAACATAGGGAGACTTTTTGTCTTTACAAAAAAATAGGAAAATTAGCTGGGTGTGGTAGTGTGTACCTCTAGTCCCAGCTACTCAGAAGGCTAAGGCAGGAGGATCCCTTGAGCCCAGGAGTTCAAGATTGCGGTAAACTATGCTGATGCCACTGCACTCTAGCTTGGGCAACAGAGTGAGACCCTGTCTCAATAAAAAAAAAAGCTCGCTCTTTTAACTTGCATAAAGCTTCAATTTTACTTACCTATCTCATCACCAGGAAACAGAGACAAGGGGGGAAAAAGAATTAAATAGAAAATATGAAATATAAAAAAAAGAAGTATTTTACTTACCTCTCATTATTTTAATTACATCTCATTATTTTTTGTTGTTGCCATTTTGTGTCAGAATCCTTCAGGTTCTTGTTCTGTGGATGTGAGTGCCATGTGGTGGGAAAGAGCTGGTCTTAAAGAGCCATGTATCATAACTGCTTGTGAATATGCAGTTTCTCTTTGGAAACCCCTGGACACTTGGCAGTGGAAAAACATTTATACTTGGCACTTCACGGAGGTAAGTGGGAATCTTAGAGGGGAAAGAGATCTTTGCAATCATTTGCATGATAATGTAGATGGGCAGCTCACCACAGTTGGGCTCCATTACCATGCAAGGCAGAATGGAGATGAGGTTTTTTCCCCAACATTTTATTATGAAAATTTTCAAACAGGCTGGGGCACTGTGGTTCACGCCTGTAATCCCAGCACTCTGGGAGGCCGAGGTGGGTGGATTGCTCAAGGTCAGGAGTTCTAGACCAGCCTGAGCAAGAGCGAGTCCCGTCTCTACTATAAATAGAAAGAAATTAATTGGCCAACTAATATATATAGAAAAAATTAGCCAGGCATGGTGGCGCATGCCTGTAGTCCCAGCTACTCGGGAGGCTGAGGCAGCAGGATTGCTTGAGCCCAGGAGTTTGAGGTTGCTGTGAGCTAGGCTGACAAACACGGCACTCACTCTAGCCTGGGCAACAAAGTGAGACTATGTCTCAAAAAAAAAAAAATTTTTTTTTCAAACATACAGAAAAAGTTGTCCAGTGAGCCTCCATTTATCTACTATCTGTACTGTGCCATTAACGTTGTGCTTTATTTGCTTTATCACAAGTTTACCTAGAAATGGTTTTACACCAGACCTGTTGGAGAGGCTTGGGATTTTTTGTCTCTTCTGACTTCCAAACTTGCTCATATCTGTATTCCTTGCCCTTCACCAAAACTTTATTTCTGCTTCTTTTCTATATGTATTTCCTTCTAGTCTTTGTCAATCTTCATGCATATCTAACATGGTTGCAGTCCTAGTATGCTTAATAGCTTTAGATCTGTCTTTTCTCGATTACCATATAAACATTTTTTCTTTGTTTCTACATAGTCTTCATACTTCTTTATGCTTCATTCTCATTCTCCACTATATCCATAAGTTCTAGCTCTGTGCTTTGCTAGCTGAGTGAACAAACATAATTTTAAATGGCTGCATAATGTTTTCTTCATTCACATGCCAGAATTTACTTAATTATTCCCTTATTGTTAGAATAATATAGTACGTTAAATAAATGTTAAGTAAACACTATTTTGCATATAGCTTATTTGGATTTATAGCTTATAAAAAGAGAATGTTTTCTGAGCCTTCTCACATTTCTTCAAATGTTGGAAACTATGCTGGTACAGTGAAAATACAAAAGAATGTGATAAATTTTAGAAAATTTTAAATTAAAAATGAAACAACCAAGTATAATTTTTGGCTGCTTTGTTTTATTTAGGTTCCGGTATTACAAATAGTTCCAGTGCCTGATGTTTGTAATCTTGTGTGTGTAGCTTTGGGAAATTTAGAAATCAGAGAAATCAGGTATGTTAATTCCCAACGAGGGATTTTTTTCCCCCTTTATCTTTGTCTCCATCAGCTTGTTTTGAGTGCAGGTTATAACCTAACCTTGAGACTTGAAAGAATGTGAATTTAGGTCTAAAGAGAGATTTTGTTTTTTAAAAATCATTTACATTTAAAATCTAACCTAGTCCTTTAATATTAAAGGCTTATTCCTAACTTCTCCTTTTTCCTTAATTTGATTTAGGGCATTATTTTGTTCCCCTGATGATGGAAGTGAAAAGCAGTTGCTACTGAAATCTGGAAATATAAAAGCTGTGCTTGGCCTAACAAAGAGGAGGCTAGTTAATAGCAGTGGGACCCTTTGTGATCACCAAGTGGAAATCATGACATTTGCAGAAGATGGAGGGTAAGAAAAGCATTGGTTGATTTTAACTATTGGATAAAGAATGATTTTATCATAGGCTTCAGAGAAAGTTGGATTATTAGGATATTGTTTTTCTGTGCTATAGGTGTAATACAGTAGGCATGGCTTCAACACAAGGTTGTCACGTAGATGCTGGTTAGAGAGATGGAAGCCAGACATGACAGGGAAGAAGTTAATGGAGTGGAGAAGCTCAGCAAATGTAGTTTTCTCTTTCTGTGGTCTTCTTTGAAATCTCTGTGTGTTTCTTAAATATTAGAAGTACCTCAGGTTCGTAGATCTTTTCCTCATTCCATACACTTGGTGTCCATTGCTTCAGTGACCATCTAGATGCTGACTACTTGCAAACATACATTTCTAGCTGTGAGCTCTTCTCGAGCTCTAGACCTGAATATGTATTTATTAGACATCTTGCAGACACCTCAAATTCAACCTGTTGAAAACTAAACTGATAGTTGTCCTGTCATATACTTGTTATACTTCATTATTATTTGTCTTTCCTAATGACAGAGGGCAGGGACATTGTTTGTCTTATTTAGTCATGACCTATTGTGGTAATCTAGGGCAAGAGACAGATTGTTTAATTTAGAAATACGTTAGTGGAGATGACAAGAAACAGATTTGTGAGAAATGAGATGATAAAATCATTAGGACTTGTTTGAGAAGATCGAGAGGGAGGAAACAAGGATAATGTCATATCCAAGTAGATAATAGAAAAGTAACATATGGTCATTGTAGAAAGTTTAGAACACACATTTTATGGTTTAAATTTTTTTCTTGGGGCCAGGCGCGGTGGCTCACACCTGTAATCCTAGCACTCTCGGAGGCCGAGGTGAGAGGATCACTCGAGATCAGGAGTTCGAAACTAGCCTGAGCAAGATCCCATCTCTACTAAAAATAGAAAGAAATTAATTGGCCAACTAAAAGTATATAGAAAAAATTAGCCAGGCATGGTGGTGAGTGCCTGTAGTCCCAGCTACTCGGGAGGCTAAGGCAGGAGGATTGCCTGGGCCCAGGAGTTTGAGGTTGCTGTGAGCTTTGCTGATGCCATGGCACTCTAGTCTGGGCAACAGAGTGAGACTCTGTCTCAAAAAAAAATAAAAATAAATAAATAAATTTTTTTCTTGGTATTTAGTTTTTGTTATGCATAATTCATTAATGTGTAGAAGGGCTGCTTAGAAACTGCTTTGGTGCAAAGTACTAATTTTTAATATTGTTGTTTTAAATGCAGAAACAAAGAAAAGCAGTTTTTGATGCCCCCTGAGGAAACTGTACTAACTTTTGCTGAGGTCCAAGGGATGCAGGAAGCTCTGCTAGGTACTACTGTCATGAACAACATTGTTATTTGGTAAGCTTTCCCTGTAGGTCCTTAGTTTCTTCCTCTGTAGTATGAGGATATACCTCTAATTTTATAGTGTTGTGAAGAGTAGATAAGAGAGTATATGTAAGTATGATTGTGTCTTGTTTTTTTACTGTCAGATGCTATATACTTGTCTTACCAAGAACATCATATTAATTTGGGCATTGTGAAAAAGATCATTCTGAATAGACTATTTTAAAATAAATGAAATATTGTCAAAATGATCCACTTGTTTTTCCTTCTGGTTAGTGGCCAAGTAGCTTCTATCAGACCCACTCACTCTCTTCCCTCAAATAACTATCAAAATATGTACAAAATATGAAAAACAACTATCTGAAGGCACCAGAGAGCAAGAAAAAGAAGAAAGATACTGGAGGGGTTTCTCCAGTTAGGAGATGGAAATGGCACTAGGCGAGTTTCCCATTCTTATGACTTTAAGCCAGAAGACAGGCCCTGGTCTGCCCACAGGGTGACTAAAAGCTTAACAGAAGACCTTCTGTCCTACTGGCTTAGAGAACCAAAGGACAGAGTTCAGGGTAATGACAGCAACTAGAAAGTGAGGGAGAAAAGTCCCAAATAGGAGAGAGCCAAAGAAGGAAACCTAAATTCTAGGTATAAGCTTTGTTTAAATATCTGGCTGACTTTTCAAACTACATGTTCAAGGGCAGACTACAAGCAGCCCAGGTAAGACTGAAAGAACTAAACTGGGATTTCAGTATTTGGAGTTGAAGAGCGGCCAAGTTAACTATTTACTAGAATAAATAAACAAAATGAATATTCTTCAGAGGAACCTAACAGAATCCACAGTTTTTGCAACATAACACTGTATCTAAGATACGTCCAAAGTTACTAGATATACCAAAAAAAAGTATGATAACGGGAACCAAATTAACAAATTTGTGAGCGGGAAATCAAGTTGAGAAGTCCCCTGCCACCTCTTTTCTTTCTTTTTTTATTTCAGCATATTATGGGGTACAAATGTTTAAGTTACATATATTGCCTTTGCCCCTCCTGAGTCAGAGCCTCAAGTGTGTCCATCCCCCAGACAGTGGGCACAGTACCCATTAGGTATGAATGTACCTATCCCCTCCTGCCCCCTCCCACCTGCCTGACACCCAATGAATGTAACTACTATATGTGCACATAAGTGTTGATCCGTTCATAACCATTTGATGGTGAGTACATGTGGTACTTGTTTTTCCATTCTTGTGATATTTCACTTAGTAGAATGGGCTCCAGCTCTATCGAGGATAATACAAAAGGTACTAGATCACCATTGTTTTTTGTGGCTGAGTAGGACTCCATCGTATACATATACCACATTTTGTTAATCCACTGATATATTGATGGGCACTTGGGTTGTTTCCACATCTTTACAATTGTGAATTGTGCTGCTATAAATATTCGAGTGCAGATCTTCCTTTGGGTAGATGGCCAGTAATGGGATTGCTGGATCAAATGGTAGTTCTACTTTAGCTCTTTGAGGTATCTCCATATTACTTTCCACAGACATTGTACTAGTTTAATGAGATAATGGAAAACTTTTCCCTTGGAAATTGGAGAGACTTATCCCTAGTGGTGTAGCAGATTCAACCTAAGGTTAAACTATCAAGTTAAACTATTGGCAAAGTTACCCTATAGAGCTAATTTTAGCTAAATCTATGACTAAACAAAACTAAGGTAGTGTGTCCCTTAGTATTCCCTTGGTCACCTCCGAAAAGATGCTATGATGGATAAGAGAATATTATGTGAAAACCAGTTTGCTAAAAGAATGTGATTGGCTTATTTATTTTTGGTATTCAAGGAATTTAAAAACTGGTCAACTTCTGAAAAAGATGCACATTGATGATTCTTACCAAGCTTCAGTCTGTCACAAAGCCTATTCAGAAATGGTAAGTAACTATTGGCTAGGACCACTGGTCTCACTAAGTGAGAGCAATAAGCTGTAAATAGTAATTAACAGATGCTGCCTGTTGGCTGTTTTTTCAAAATTGGATAGCAGTGTTTGTTTGTTCTTTCTTGAAATTTATGAATGAAAATAAGTGTTGGTACAATGTATTATAATTGCCTGGGAAATTTTCTGGCTGTATGACTTGAAGGCAAGCATTTATTTCTAGCTGTGAATTTGTACTGAGAAATAATTTCCCTATTATTATTATTATCAGACTTGATTCCCAGCCACATTACCACATTACCATAAATGATTTAGGATGTGTGTGAGTAGCCCTAGAGAGGACTAAATGGTCCTAGACATGTTTTTCCCTTAAGCTTTAGTGTTCCCACATAGAAACAAACCAGGTACTTAACCGTTATGCTAATAGTCTTGGCTTATAGTCTAGTTTTGACATCTAAACAGGTTGAAGGAAGTTGTCCAGGACTGAGAAATAACTGACTATCCACCATTGAAGCCACAAGCAGAGGCAGCAGCAGCAGGCTCAGCGCTTGTATAGAGACCGACTTGCCTAGTATCAGTGATAGCCTTGAGAATATCAGGCACCCAGAGGCTTTGAATGCAAAGAGTAAATCTTGCCCTAGTCTAGCAGGAACCGTGGAATTGAACTCAGAGGCTGTGTGAGCTTAGATATTCTTAGATAATCATATAATTTTGAGCTTAACTGTTTTCATCCTTTGAATAAGAGAGTTGAATTCGTCTCTAGAATTTATTTATTATGCATTTAAATAATTTCATGTTTTTTATATTACATGTTTTTTTACATGTTTTATATTCATTTTTTTATATTACAACATTGATATGTATTTGATATTAAAACATTTAACACAGAAATGTGTAAGATAGTAAGTAAAAGTCCCCCATAAAGCCAACCTTCAGAAATAATAGTTTATTATTTATTGCACTATTGTTTAGTGTAGGGATTGGTTAACTTTTTCCATAAAGGACCGGACAGCAAATGTTTATAGCTCTGCTAGCCATATGGTTTCTGTTGTAAACACTCTACTCTGCCATTTTTGTGCAAAATCAGCTATAGACCGTGTAAACAGTGCATGTGGCTGTGTTCTAATAAAACTTTATGCATACTGAAACATGAATTTCATATAATTTTTACATATTACAAAATGTTGTTATTCTGATTTTTTTTTAACCATTTTAAAATGTGAAAAACATTCTCAGCTCATGGACCATACTGAAATAAGCATTGGGCTGGATTTGCCTTATGGGCCATAGTTTGTGAACCCCTTATTAAGTGTATAGCATTTAACATTTTAAAAATCTCAGTTCTCTAAACACAAAAGTAATTCATTTTCATTGATAAATTCAATCATTTTAAATATGTATGAAGTAGAAAATGTATGCTACTAATTCTAAAATAGCCATATGGTTTAATTTTCTCCATCTTACATCCAAAGAGAAATATTCTCAATGTATACCATACATCTACATATGTATGCATGTATGCATACACACATACAAACACTAATATTATTAGAGTCTGTAATTTTAAAGCTGGGAGATATCTTCAACATATTTTCCCACAGAAACAGCTATAGATATGGTATCTTTTTTTTTCACCCTTATTCTTAGTAGAGAATAGCAATGTCTGGGTTTTGAATAGGCTATTGTAGCTAGCCTAAGAATCCAGTTACCTCTTACAAAGTTGTCACATTTTATGGGAAAATGTGTTCTGAATTTTCCAAAACCAGCTTACAAATGAATATTTCTAATTTGAAGACTCCCTGCACATGTTTATATGTCCTCTTTTTCTATGCCAAATTTTCCCCAAATGAATGGCATGAAATGTAGTAGTAGCTAAGGTATCTAAGGTAGAGGAAATTGATGAGTCAGCTAGATTCATGCCTGGCAAGATTGGCTCAGAAAAACATTAGAAGCCTTACCCTAGAGAAGCCAGAAGTCCAGCTGGTTAGAATCTCAACAGTTTCTGCCTGAAAACAAAAACAACAACAGTGAAGTCAATGACTAAATCCCGGATACTTAAGAACCTATTGATCATTTCTGTGATTCTTTGGTTTTGTCTCTGCCAACCTTTTCTTTTTCCCAACATACTCTAGACTGTCTATTTGATTATTAATTTTTCTCCTAAATTAGGGGCTCCTATTTGTTGTTCTGAGTCATCCTTGTGCCAAAGAGAGTGAGTCGTTGGGAAGTCCTGTGTTTCAGCTGATTGTGATTAACCCTAAGACGACCCTGAATGTGGGTGTGATGCTGTACTGTCTTCCTCAAGGGCAGGCTGGAAGGCAAGTGTGTGCGTGACTGCTATTCAGTGGGTGTGACATTTTGAAAGGCACTGTGCAAATACAAATACCAGACATTTTGTGTCACTTAGATGAATGGAAAACAGGAAATACTACAGAGCACAAAAAAATGTTAAGAAGTAGAATGAAATTTAGTGGCTGTTAGTCCCAGGTTCCCTACATCCTGATGGAAATGGGATTAGATAGTTTTTTTTATGTGTATTCAAGCCCCCTGTGTTTTCCCATTAGGGAAACATTTTAAATACAAAGAGAGTAATGAATGTTCTCCTCAAAATACTTATAAGCTATGTTCTTTCTAAACTAAAACTCAGGAAGTTTTAAATGTACTTTAGGAAGACATCTTCACTTTGAAATCTGACTGTGCCTCCATCATGCAGGTAGTTGATAGGTATTTATTGATAAATATTTATTTATCTATTGACTAATGCTACTGACACAGTTATTGGCATCCCAAGAGTTTTCTGAGCTGCATAGAGCTTTGAAGTAGTGCTGATATTTTAGGTCAACCAAGCAATGTCTGAACATGTAATTCCTAAAGACTGCTTTTTTTTTTTTTAATGAGACAGAGTCGCCATCTGTCACACTGGTTAGAATGCAGTGGCATTATCATAGGTCACTGCAACCCCAAACTCCTGGGCTCAAGTGATCCTCCTGCCTCAGCCTCCTGAATAGCTGGGACTATAGGTGCACACCATCATGATGTTTAAAATTAGAAGCAGAGATTGAAAATACTTAGAAATCAAGATCACAAAGTCTGGCTTTAATACCTCACAAAGATAAGGAACCTTGATAATTACAGTGCATGTTTCTTTGGACCTTGTACAAAGCTTACTTGATTAATACACGTTCCAAAACACATTCTCTATCCCTGTGCACTTAGCCAGCTATGGCGCTTCTGTAGATGTTGTTAAAAAGAACCTCAGAACTATCATCTGCAGTATGTATTTGCATGAAGAACTTGCTTTCTTGGATATGGAGAGAGAACTGTAGTCATTGACCTAGAAATTGAAGATAAAGATAACTTTTTGATCAAAGATTTTCATCGTCACTTTTCAAATGCATCTTTTCAGCAAAGCGTGCAAGCCTATTTGATGTCATTCCTATAGGAAGATGTCTTAGTCCATTCAGGCTACTCCAAAATACTGTAAACTAGATAGTTTACAAACAACTGAAATTTACTTCTCACAGTTTTACAGGCTGGGAAGTCCAATATCAAGGTGCTGGCAGATTTGGTGTCTGGTGAGGGCTCATTTCCTGGTTCATAGATGGAACTTCTAGCTGTGGCCTCACAGTATAGAAAGGGCAAGGCAGCTCTCTGGGGCCTCTTTTATAAGGGCACTAATGCCATCCGAGAATTTAGCTCTCATGACCTAATCATCTCCCAAGGGCCCCACCTCCTAGGATCATCACATTGGAGATAAAATTTCAAAGATGAATTTTGGGGTGACACAAACATTTAGCACTACTATTTCTAATTTCATGGAAGTTAGGAGTGAAAACTAGTGACTAGCGGTCAGTGCACAAAGGGCACATGCATGAGGCTTACACTGTTTAGGAGCACAAGAATAGAGGGGGACTTTAACAGTGGAAGGTTGGGAAGAAACTTTCAAAGAAAACTTTACGGAGCTTCCAAAAATGGGTTAGGAGTTAGGTGCACAAAGTTTGGAGCTAGGGATAAAAATATTGTTCAGTTCATTCAAATAACATTCTTTGGGAGCTGACTGTACACCTGGCACTCTGCAAGTGTCAGTGATACAGCAGAGAGTAATATTAAATAATAATAGTTAATTTCTGTTGAGCACTTCCTGTGTGCCAGGTACTACGCTAAGCTTTTTTTGAATGAACTATTTCATTCAGTCTCACAACAGTCCCATGAAGTAGATGTTGTCATCATCCTCCCTGTTTTACTGATGAAGTTAAATAACTTTCCTAGGGCTGCACAGCGCTTACATTATAGAGTTAAAATGTAAACCCAGGTGGCTGACCACAGAGCCCCTATCTCAAGAAGACAACTAGGTTTCAGCTTCATCATGCTTATTACATTTTTATGGGGGAAGGACCTACCACATACAGAAATAGGGTAATCTCATATAGTGAAAAGTACTATGAAGATAAAAACAGATAATGTCATAGGGAAGGGAACAGAATACAGTATTCGTGTGCACTACTTCACATAGCAGATTAGATGTGAAGGAGAGGGCCTCAATGATGAAAAAAACCCAGTCAGGCTAAGATCTGCAACTTAGAGCCTGCCAGGGAGAGAGAATAGCAACAGCAAAGACACTGAGGTGAGACCGGGTTTGGCACATGTGAAGAATGGAAGGCAGGCGACTGTGAGCTAGCCTTTGAGTGGTACAAGATGCATCAGAGAGATAGGCAGGGACTGGACATGTGATTCTTTCCAGAACTGTAACACACTAGCCAGTAGTTCTCTAGGATCGCAAATGTAGTTACAGGGATTTTTGTTTCTGTTAATCCTTAGGGAAACATGGTTTTGGCCTATTAAAAAAATTAGATTTGAACATGTGTCCCAGGGGTGAAAAGTTATTTTTTTCATATGTGATCTAAATTGTTTCTTCTCTGTTTGGTATCAGGTTCCTGGAAGGTGACGTGAAAGATCATTGTGCAGCAGCAGTCTTGACTTCTGGAGCAATTGCCATTTGGGACTTACTTCTTGGTCATTGCACTGCTTTCCTTCCACCTGTCCCTGACCAAAATTGGTCTTTCGTGAAATGGTCAGGTACAGATTCTCATTTGCTGGCTGGACAAAAAGATGGAAATATATTTATATACCGCTACTTGTAAGTTAGGGTAAGATGGAAAATTCTTACTATTGTACCAAAATACAATTCTCTGGGTATACTTGTATTCTTAGTATTTTTTGGAGTTGGAAGCATAAAGGAGAATGTCTGCATGACATTTATAATAATTGATGTATACATCCAGACAGACTTATTTTTCTTCTCGTGGTGGCACCACTGATCTCGAATGTTTGGTGGGGAAATACTTTGTTGGGGAAAAGGGTTTTAAGTTGATTTTTGTAATTCCCACATTTGCACATTTGTTTTTTAAGGTGTATATAAAGCTTCAGATGTCAATAAATATTTATTTTGATACATTCTGCTTGGCATATTCTTTATTTTCCCATTGTATTAAGGTCACTTTCAGAAATAAGAACTAATTATTATCCAATTAGAATATTTAACACATTAACTGCCACATGAGATGTATTTAACACAAGCTAGTTTTGAGCCCAAGGCCTTGTGAAGCAAAACCTGGGCAAAACCCAGCAGTTGGTTTGTGAAAATCTTACATGTTGATGTTCTTATTGTTACAATTAATATTAACAAATTAATTCTAAAAATGTGTATTAAATGAATAGAAATAAATAAATTTTGTTTTTCATTAAATTAGAAAGGATCATTTTGTTTTCAAACTTTTTATTCTATTTTCATAATAAAACACAGTGGCCCCAAGGAAAAAAATTTTTTTCTAATGTTTACATAGTAAGAGTAAATTTTTCCAACAAGCTGTGATAAAACACAAAAAAGAAAAAGGAAAAATTTTTTTAAAAAAAGTAAATTTTAGCTAACTTAGTATACTAATATGCTTTTTATGTTATTTGTAATACTTTATTTTCACATATATACTAAAAGTAATATAATACGTATTAAAATATCCTAATTTAGAAATACTCTTATTCTTTTTTATTCTCGCATGCATCCTTGATACCAGTGCCTGCGTTGTCACTAGAGTCACTTTTGAATCAGTGACACAGCTTTACTGAATATATCACCTTCACCTTTGCCTAAGGATCTGAGAGAAATTGTTAAAGTACTAATCTGCTGTTATTGGAAATTTTATCTCTAGCAACAAGTATTTATTTGCCTAACATTCTGAGAGTATACTTTTTAAAGACACCTTTTTCAGCTGGTCCAAGTGCAGTGGTGTTTGCAACTAATTGATTACACCTAGTTATAGATTCCTTTGTTCCTTCTCCACTCCCACTGCTTCACTGGACCAGCCTTTAAAAAATATGTAATTAATTAATTTAAAAATTAAATTATTTTTAAAATACACCTTTTTCTAATATTTACTGGCTGGGCACGGTGGCTCACATCACCGTGAATTAATTATATTATGGGGAATGGAGTCAGGAAGCGAGAAAGGTAGTCCAGGGGCTTTGTGAGACAGGTGAAGAGACCACTGAAGGGTCTGAGCAGTGGGCAAAACGGTCCTGCTCCAGATGCACAGTAATGATGGATTTATGGAAGCCAAAAGCGAGGCAAAAAGATGACCACAAGGGCCTGAATTGTGGCAGAGGCAGTGGGAATAAAATAGTAGAACTGGAGAGAGGTTTATGAGGGAAAAGAAATGAGCAGGACTAAATGGATGCCTGATTAAGTACAAGATGAAGGAGTCTTAAATTTCTGGCTTAGTGAGTGATGGTGTTGGCAGCTGAGATAGTGAACACACAAGGGAGGAAGACAACTAATTTGGGTGCTTACAGATCAGTAGGAATGTTGAATAGGCAACTGGATATAGCATTATGAAGCTCAGGAAAAAGGCCAGGACTGGATGCAGGTGGGAATTAAAGCTTCTGGAGTGAATCAGTCCTGAGAAGTGGTATGTTTACAGTCAAGAGTAGATCAGGACAGAACCTTGGGGAATCTATGTTTAAATGATGAGTGGAGCCTGAGCAAGAGTGAGACCCCCACCTCTACTAAAAGTAGAAAGAAATTAATTGGCCAACTAAAAATATAGAAAAAATTAGCTGGGCATGGTGGCTCATGCCTGCAGTCCTAGCTACTCAGGAGGCTGAGGCAGCAGGATTGCTTGAGCCCAGGAGTTGGAGGTTGCTGTGAGCTAGGCTGATGTCACACACTCTAGCCTGGGCAACAGAGTAAGACTCGGTCTTGAAACAAAACGAAACAAATGCTGAGTGGAGGAGATAGAGCCAGGAAGGAATAATCAGAGGCTGGTGTGTCACTGATAACTTAAGCAGATCTTCTGGGCCCTTATCCTAAAAATCCAATTAAATTTTTGGTGCCAACCAGTTTTCTACAGGAATGGAAGATTGCTACTTAAACTGGAGCTTGGCATTTACTCACCAATTATTCCAAAATGGTGATACAATTGCTCTTCCAATTGCTTAATAGCAGGGAAGTGGTGGTGAAGTCAGGATGAAAGAGAATTTGGGCACAGACTGTTGGCATTTCCATGGAGACTTTGGTTGGCCTGGATTCCCAATCCCTCCCCTGATTCATTAAGTTCTCTGCCCAAATATGACCTCCTAAGAGTGGCCTCCAGGGACAACCCTATCCAAAATAACACACTTCCTGCATTCTCTCCCTATCCTTCCCTGCTTTATTGTTAATTGTACTCATTGCTTCCTAAAGTTTTGTTGTTTTTGTTTACATATTTTTGTTTGTTCATTGTCTCCTCCCTTTAGAAAATAAACTCCATGAAAATAGACTGCCTATCTGGCTTACACACTGCTGTTGCCTTAACAACTAGCACATAACAGATATGTTCAATTTTTTAAAGGAATGCATAAGTAAAAATAATTTTACAATAGTGAGATCATAGTATGCATTCTATTTTACATTAAGGCATTGGGCCAGGCTTGGTGGCATAGGGCTATAATCCTAGCACTCTGGGAGGCCTAGGCCGGAGGATTGCTTGAGCTTGGGAGTTTGAAACCAGCCTAAGCAAGAGTGAGACCCTTCTCTAGTAAAAATAGAAAAATTAGCCCAGCATGGTGGGACACTCCTGTAGTCCCAGCTACTTGGGAGGCTGAGGCAGGAGGATCGCTTGAGCCCATTTTGAGGCTGCAGTGACCTATGTTGACGCCACTGCACTCTACCCAGGGCGACAGAGACTTTCTCTCAAAAAAAAAAAAAAGGAAAAGAAATTGAACCCCTCTCCTCACTCCCCTCGTCATAAAAAAAAAAAAGTGTATTTTAGAACTTTCAGAGGAGAAATAAAAATAAGTTCCCTTCTTGTATCAATGGTTAGGGAAAGATAGCGCCTGCGAGTTTTAATTCTGGCACGAAGGAGCCATTCGCCTGCGAACCTGGGAGGCTGCACAGCGCGGCCCCAAGGCTGCAGCGCCGCCAGGAGCCGCCAGGGGCCGCCACCGCCGGCGATGTCAGGCAGCGCCACTCTGCGTGGCCCACGCACAGCCAGAGAGGAACCCTGGGCCGACGCTGCGGCGCAGTGCATTCTGGGTCGGCGTAGCTATGGCGGCTCGTGTCCTTTCCTCCTGTGTCCGCCGCCTGCCCGCGGCCTTCGCCTCGCTGCCCCGGGTCCCCACGTTATCCACGGCCCGGCCGCTCAGCACCGCTCTGTGCCCCGCGGGGACCCGGACAAGGCCTGGGGCTTCGCAGCCAGCCTCGGTGCTCGCGCAGGTGACTCGCGGTGACTTTGCTGCGGCTTGGCAGGGGTCAGGGGTCCGGCCTGCTCGGGGTGGGGGCGGGGGACCGGGCAGCCAGGCTGCGCCTACTGCAGGTGGGGGTGATCTGGGGGGCATCTGGCTCTCCCCAGCCCCGCTGCTTAACGGTGTTTGGTTGACCCCTGCCAGGAGGTCAGGTGACCTAATGACAACGAGCAAAAGCAAACACCGCTGCGTTCAAATGCTAGCTGCCAGTTACCGAAACTTTGGACAAGTCTTATAACCTCGCGAAGCCTCAGACGGAACCACAACATCGGGTCTCTACTTTGTGGAGTGGCAGTGAGGTTTAGATGAGATAATGCGGGTAGAGCACCTAGTGCGGTGCTTGTTAAACTCTCAAAATATTGGCCGCCGGCAGTTGTAATGGTAACGGTGCAAAGAGAAAGCCGCACTGGCTTACAGCCTTCTCCAGAGCAGTTCTGTCCCTGGATTCCGTCTTAATTTTACCCTGTGGCACCTTTTGCCTGTTTCCGGGACTACTGTAAGTAAGACTAGGAAATAGTTGTATCTACTTTATCTGATGAAACCTATGTGAGGCTACCGCTCTCTAAAACGTGGATTTTCAACCCTGGCTGCACATTCAAATCACCGGGGTAACTTAAAAAATCCCTTGCTGCTCCCTTTCTTCTGATTAACTTCTCTGTGATGAGACCCTGGCATGGATTTTTCTTTATTGTTTTTTAAGTTCCTCAGGTGACTCTGAAATGCAGCCAAGATTAAGAACCACTGCCTTAAGGTAGGATCGACCCCCAAGGTCAAGTTATGAAACCCCTTTTCAAACTCATGGACTTCACGTAATAGTGGTTTCAATCTTTGACTGCATGTTAGATAAAAAATAAGGATGCCCAGGCCAAATTAATCAGAATCTAGAGATGGGGTCTGGGTGACTATTTTTTAAAGTCATCAGGTGATTCTTCTGTGTAGCCAGTGTTGAGATTCATTAATAGTGAATTAACTCATAGGACATTGTCCTATTGGCTGTGTCAAAAAGTTAAAAAAGTGTCACTTTGAAGTTAAGGGTTAAAAGGGCAGTAGGTAGAGTTGCCAAGTGTTTGCTTCTTGAAGATAGTTTTCAACATTAGGCTAAAATGGAGTCATTGTTCCTATTCTTAGAGTATTGATCTCAAACTTTGTGCATACAGATAACCAGGGTTAAAATACACAGATTCTGATTTAGTAGGTCCGGGAAGGGGCCTGAGAGTCTCCATTTCCAGTGGCCTCCCAGAAGATCCTGCTGCTTAGACCGTGCTTTGAATAGCAAGGTGCTTGATGATGTTCCACTACCTCCATCTGGTTTACATATACAGCAGAGGAACCATTTTATTTATACTTACAAAGTAGTTTTGACTAAGTTCATTCAAAGATAAGCTGAGGGACAGCTACTTGCCAGGCCTCATGCTAGCTGTTGAGGGATACAGAGATGGATACAAAAGAAAGACATTAGCTCATAACTTCATTGGACACTTTGCAGCCCTTATGTTAAACATGCCAGCTCCTTCCCTGGTTCTGACACTGTTCTCCCTTAGTCTGTCCCCTGTCTTTCTGTTCCTACCTTGTTGAGCATTTTCTCTATCTAACCCTTAAATGTTGGTAGGCTCCAGGGTTCTCTTACCACACAGTTTCCCTGGACTGTCTCTATTAGTTTCTGTTATTTCCTATATACCCCAAACTTCCACCCAGCCCTCATTCATCTCAACTATTGTTCATTTCACCCATTCCCTGCTGCTGAATTTCTCCTCACATCCTTCCACTTTGCTGACCCCAGAGCAACTAGTTATTCATTTAT